TCACTCACTCACTCACCTACACACTCACTCACTCACTCACCTACACACTCACTCACTCACCTACACACTCACTCACTCACCTACACACTCACTCACTCACCTACACACTCACTCACTCACCTACACACTCACTCACTCACCTACACACTCACTCACTCACTCACCTACACACTCACTCACTCACCTACACACTCACTCACTCACTCACCTACACACTTACTCACTCACCTACACACTCACTCACTCACCTACACACTCACTCACCTACACACTCACTCACTCACCTACACACTCACTCACTCACCTACACACACACTCACTCACCTACACACTCACCTACACACTCACTCACTCACCTACACACTCACAGCTACACAGAGTGTTGGACCTGCTGAGCCACTTCTACAGCCCCGACAGCCTGGTCCCCAGTCACACCTACACAGAGTGTGGGACCTACAGGCAGATAGCGACTAGCACTGAGCTGTCTGTGAGTAGCACTCACTCACTCACTCACCTACACACTCACTCACTCACTCACCTACACACTCACTCACTCACTCACCTACACACTCACTCACTCACCTACACACTCACTCACTCACTCACCTAGACACTCACTCACTCACTCACCTACACACTCACTCACTCACCTACACACTCACCTACACACTCACTCACCTACACACTCACCTACACACTCACTCACTCACCTACACACTCACTCACTCACCTACACACTCACTCACTCACCTACACACTCACTCACTCACCTACACACTCACTCACCTACACACTCACTCACTCACCTACACACTCACTCACTCACTCACCTACACACTCACTCACTCACCTACACACTCACTCACTCACTCACCTACACACTCACTCACTCACCTACACACTCACTCACTCACCTACACACTCACTCACTCACCTACACACTCACTCACTCACTCACCTACACACTCACTCACTCACCTACTCACTCACTCACTCACCTACACACTCACTCACCTACACACACACTCACTCACTCACCTACACACTCACTCACTCACCTACACACTCACTCACTCACCTACACACTCACTCACTCACCTACACACTCACTTACTCACCTACACACTCACTCACTCACCTACACACTCACTCACTCACCTACACACTCACTCACCTACACACTCACTCACTCACCTACACACTCACTCACCTACACACTCACTCACTCACCTACACACTCACTCACTCACCTACACACTCACTCACTCACCTACACACTCACTCACCTACACACTCACTCATTCACCTACACACTCACTCACTCACCTACACACTCACTCACTTACTCACCTACATACTCACTCACTCACCTACACACTCACTCACCTACACACTCACTCACCTACACACTCACTCACTCACCTACACACTCACTCGCTCACCTACACACTCACTCACTCACCTACACACTCACTCACACACCTACACACTTACCTACTCACTCACACACTCACCTACACACTCACTCACTCACCTACACACTCACTCACTCACCTACACACTCACTCACTCACCTACACACTCACTCACTCACCTACACACTCACTCACCTACACACTCACTCACTCACCTACACACTCACTCACTCACCTACACACTCACTCACCTACACACTCACTCACCTACACACTCACTCACTCACCTACACACTCACTCACTCACCTACACTCACACACCCACACTCACTCACCTGTGACGTGTATAGTAATGAGTGTATAGTGTATAGTAATGTGTGTAGTGTATAGTAATGTGTGTGTAGTGTATAGTAATGTGTGTGTGTAGTGTATAGTGTAGTGTATAGTGTAGTGTATAATAGTGTATAGTGTAGTGTATAGTTATGTGGGTGTATAGTGTAGTGTATAGTGTAGTTTATAGTAGTGTATAGTGTAGTGTATAGTAGTGTATAGTGTAGTGTATAGTGTATAGTAATGAATGAGTGTGTGTAGTGTATAGTGTAGTGTATAGTGTATAGTAACATGAGTGTGTGTGTAGTGTATAATAGTGTAGTGTATAGTGTATAGTAACGTGAATGAGTGTGTAGTGTATAGTGTATAGTAACGTGAGTGTGTGTGTAGTGTATAATAGTGTAGTGTATAGTGTATATTAACGTGAGTGAGTGTGTAGTGTATAGTGTATAGTAACGTGAGTGAGTGTGTAGTGTATAGTGTATAGTAATGAGTGAGTGTGTAGTGTATAGTGTATAGTAATGAGTGAGTGTGTAGTGTATAGTAACTTGTGTGTGTGTGTAGTGTATAATAGTGTAGTGTATAGTGTATAGTAACGTGAGTGTAGTGTATAGTGTATAGTAACGTGAGTGTGTGTAGTGTATAGTGTATAGTAACGTGAGTGTGTGTGTAGTGTATAATAGTGTAGTGTATAGTGTATAGTAACGTGAGTGTGTGTGTAGTGTATAGTGTATAGTAACGTGAGTGTAGTGTATAGTGTTTAGTAACGTGAGTGTGTGTGTAGTGTATTCTAGTTTAGTGTATAGTGTATAATAGTGTAGTGTATAGTGTATAGTAACGTGTGTGTAGTGTATAGTGTAGTGTATAGTGTATAGTAATGAGTGTGTGTGTAGTGTATAGTGTAGTGTATAGTGTAGTGTATAGTGTAGTGTATAGTGTAGTGTATAGTGTAGTGTATAGTGTATAGTAACGAGTGTGTGTAGTGTATAGTGTATAGTGTAGTGTATAGTGTAGTGTATAGTGTATAGTAACGTGAGTGTGTAGTATATAGTGTATAGTATATAGTGTAGTGTATAGTGTAGTGTATAGTGTATAGTAACGAGTGTGTGTAGTGTATAGTGTATAGTATAGTGTAGTGTATAGTGTATAGTAACGTGTGTGTGTAGTGTATAGTGTATAGTATAGTGTAGTGTATAGTAACGTGAGTGTAGTGTATAGTGTAGTGTATAGTGTATAGTAACGTGTATAGTGTATAGTATAGTGTATACTAGTGTAGTGTATAGTGTATAGTAACATGAGTGTGTGTGTGTAGTGTATAGTATAGTGTAGTGTATAGTGTATAGTAACGTGAGTGTGTGTGTGTGTAGTGTATAGTGTAGTGTATAGTGTATAGTAACGTGAGTGTATAGTGTAGTGTATAGTGTATAGTAACGTGAGTGAGTGTGTGTAGTGTATAGTGTAGTGTATAGTGTATAGTAATGTGTAGTGTATAGTGTAGTGTATAGTGTATAGTAACGTGAGTGTGTGTGTGTAGTGTATAATAGTGTAGTGTATAGTGTATAGTATAGTGTAGTGTATAGTGTATAGTAACGTGAGTGTGTGTGTAGTGTATAGTGTATAGTATAGTGTAGTGTATAGTGTATAGTAATGAGTGTGTGTGTGTGTAGTGTATTCTAGTGTAGTGTATAGTGTATAGTAACGTGAGTGTGTGTGTGTAGTGTATAATAGTGTAGTGTATAGTGTATAGTAGTGTAGTGTATAGTGTATAGTAACGAGTGTGTGTGTGTAGTGTATAGTGTATAGTATAGTGTAGTGTATAGTAACGAGTGTGTGTGTGTAGTGTATAGTATAGTGTAGTGTATAGTGTATAGTAACGAGTGTGTGTGTGTAGTGTATAGTGTATAGTATAGTGTAGTGTATAGTGTATAGTAACGTGTGTGTGTAGTGTATAGTGTATAGTATAGTGTATAGTGTAGTGTATAGTGTAGTGTATACTAGTGTAGTGTATAGTGTATAGTAACGTGTGTGTGTAGTGTATAGTGTATAGTATAGTGTATAGTGTAGTGTATAGTGTAGTGTATAGTGTAGTGTATAGTGTATAGTAACGAGTGTGTGTGTGTAGTGTATAGTGTATAGTAATGTATAGTGTATAGTGTAGTGTATAGTGTATAGTAACGTGTGTGTGTGTGTAGTGTATAGTGTATAGTAATGTATAGTGTATAGTGTAGTGTATAGTGTATAGTAACGAGTGTGTGAGTGTAGTGTATAGTGTATAGTAACGTGTGTGTGTGTGTGTAGTGTATTCTAGTGTAGTGTATAGTGTAGTGTATAGTGTATAGTAACGTGAGTGTGTGTGTGTGTGTAGTGTATAGTGTATACTAGTGTAGTGTATAGTAACGTGTGTGTGTGTGTAGTGTATAGTAACGTGTGTGTGTGTGTAGTGTATTCTAGTGTAGTGTATAGTGTAGTGTATAGTGTATAGTAACGTGAGTGTGTGTAGTGTATAGTGTAGTGTATAGTGTATAGTATAGTGTAGTGTATAGTGTATAGTAACGTGTGTGTGTGTAGTGTATAGTTATAGTAACGTGTGTGTGTGTAGTGTATAGTGTATAGTAACGAGTGTGTGTGTGTAGTGTATAGTGTATAGTAACGTGTGTGTGTGTATAGTGTAGTGTATAATAGTGTAGTGTATAGTGTATAGTGTAGTGTATAGTGTATAGTAACGTGTGAGTGTGTGTGTGTGTAGTGTATTCTAGTGTAGTGTATAGTGTATAGTAACGTGAGTGTGTGTAGTGTATAGTGTATACTAGTGTAGTGTATAGTGTATAGTAACGAGTGTGTGTGTGTAGTGTATAGTGTAGTGTATAGTGTAGTGTATAGTGTATAGTGTAGTGTATAGTGTAGTGTATAGTGTATAGTAACGAGTGTGTGTGTGTGTAGTGTATAGTGTATAGTATAGTGTAGTGTATAGTGTATAGTAACGTGAGTGAGTGTGTGTAGTGTATAATAGTGTAGTGTATAGTGTATAGTAACGTGAGTGTGTGTGTGTGTAGTGTATAGTGTATAGTAACGAGTGTGTGTGTGTGTGTGTAGTGTATAGTGTAGTGTATAGTGTATAGTATAGTGTAGTGTATAGTGTAGTGTATAGTGTATACTAGTGTAGTGTATAGTGTATAGTAATGTGTAGTGTATAGTGTATAGTATAGTGTAGTGTATAGTGTATAGTAATGAGTGTGTGTGTGAGTGAGTGTGCAGGGCTACTTGCAGTACGCCCGCAGCCTGCCGCTCAGCGACTCCCCGGCTGTGTTTGGCCTCCACCCCAACGCCAGTGTGGCCCTGGCCCGGAGCGACACGGCGGCCTTGCTCGTGGCGCTGCTACGGACGCAGCCGCAGGAAGCAGCCGGTGGTGGTGGTGGTGGCGGTGGTGCCGGTGGTGGTGGTGGTGGTGGTGGTGCCGGTGGTGGTGCCGGTGGCGGTGGTGGTGGTGGTGGTGGTGCCGGTGGTGGTGCCAGGTCACGCGACGAGGTGACGCAGACTGTACACTGCACACTACGCTGTACACTACACTGCACTATACACTACTATACACTACACTATACACTACACTACTATACACTACACTACTATACACTACACTATACACTACACTACTATACACTACACTATACACTACATTATACACTGTACACTACACTATACACTACACTGTACACTACACTACTATACACTACACTGCACACTACACTGTACACTACACTATACACTACACTATACACTACACTACTATACACTACACTGCACACTACACTGTACACTACGCTGTACACTACGCTGTACACTACACTGTACACTACACTGTACACCACACTACTGTACGCTACGCTGCACACTACGCTGTATACTACGCTGTACACTACACTGTACACTACACTGTACACTACGCTGTACACTACGCTGTACACTACACTATACACTACACTATACACTGTACACTACATTACACTGTACACTACACTACTATACACTACACTGTACACTACACTACTACACTGTACACTACACTATACACTACACTACACTATACACTACACGTTACACTACACTACGTTACACTACACTACTATACACTACACTGTACACTACACTATACACTACACGTTACACTACACTACTATACACTACACTGTACACTACACTATACACTACACTGTACACTACACATCTATACACTACACTACACTATACACGACACTATACACTACACTGTACACCACACTATACACTATGCACTACACTATACACTATACTATACACTACACTATACACTACACTACTATACACTACACTACTATACACTACACTACTATACTGAGACGACTGGCTGGTGCACCACCTGTGCCCCCTACTGTGCCAACCTGCTGTGCTTTAGCCACCCGGCGCTCCGCTCGTTGTTGTGAGCGTCACTCCTCCACCCTCCATTGTTGTTGGAGGACGACTGCCTCCGACTGCCCAGTAGCGTCCTTCACGAGCCTCCTCCACAGAGGCCGATCTTGACACCGCTTGTACCAGTCATCAGCAAGTCCACTCAGCGCCATATCCTCCTGTAACACATCACTCCATCTCTTCTTTAGCCCATGCCGCTCCCGTTTAGCCCCCTCAATCCGGCCGAACAAAAGCTGTTTCGGGCATGCGGTGGCTGGGCATGCGGGCTACATGACCCAGCCAACGCAGCCTTGCCTGCCGGAGGAGCTCACCGATGGGACCTTGTCCAGATCCTTCAAGGATTTGTGAGCTCCTCACACAATCCAGCCTGGTTAAACCCAGGATGAATCGTAGGCAGGCCAGCCTAAATGTTTCTAACCGGCGAAGATGTTCCATTAGGGGGGTTCACGTTTCACAAGCGTAGAGAAGGGAGGGAATGACCGTGGCCGAGAAGACCTGAAGCTTAGTGCGGAGCGACAGACCAGGTAGCTTCCACACAGCGTTACGCAACCGATGAAAAGATATTGCCGCTCGACTGATTCGGAGTGAGACCCCCGCTGTTAAACTGGAGCCAGTCATAAGCACACTGCCCAGGTATGGGAAACTCTCCACTCTCTCCACAACTGCCCCATCACCGATTGGGAGTTGTGGGGGTGGAGTGTCCAATGCTAAATAAATATCCAGGCAGGTGCTTCGTTTTGGTGGGGCTGATGATAAGGCCCCACCTCTTAGTGGCACACTCCAGGTTCAGCAGCAGCGCCTCCAACTCCTCCTCTGAGTGAGCAGCAATTACCAGATCATCGGCATACATAACGTGGTTGACCATTAGGGAACCATCCCTTGACTGTACCCTAGCATCGATCAGCCTCCCATTATATCAATAATTTTATTGTTTTATATTTTTATCATTTCATTGTTTCCCTTCTACGTGGCGGTGACTTTACCGAAAGAACCAAGAATAATAATTTTATTGTTTTATATTTTTATTATTTTATTGTTTCCCTTCTACGTGGCGGTGACTTTACCGAAAGGATCAAGAATAATAATTTTATTGTTTTATATTTCGATTTAAAGCTTTCGTGACTGCAATGATTCATCTTCTTTGGTTCTTTCGGTAAAGTCACGTAGAATGAGAATAAAATAATAAATTGATCAAATAAAATAACACAATTATATTCTCACGACGTTTCGGCCACAACACAAGCGGCCTTCATCAGGTGAAGGGACGAGACTGTCTGGTAGGACAGCGCTGGAGTGAAAGAGCCACGTTCAGATCACGGCCTTTAAGCTGTGTGAGAGGAACAAAGCGTCTTGACAAAGGAATTAGCATATAATTTAGCATTGAAATGGCTGAATGATTAGCTTGTGACTGGTCACAGAAATAGCTATGTTAAAAGTTAAAGCATACACATCCGCAGAGGCACCCATTGTTAAAGGAATTAGCATAGAATTTAGCATTGAAATAGCTAAGTTAAGGCATACACATCCGCAGAGGCACCCCTTGACAATGGAATTAGCATAGAATTTAGCATTGAAATAGCTGAGTGATTAGCTTGTAACTGCTACAGAAATAGCTACGTTAAAGTCAGAGCATACACATTCACCGAGGCACTTAGTACAAATCAAACAGGAGAATTTAGCATTGAAATAACTAGGCGAATTTAGCATTGAAATAACTGAGTGATTAGCTAGTGACTGGTCACAGAAATGACTACACATCTGAGCTATTCACAGTACTATATAGTGAACCAATAAAAACTAAAATATAAATTACCTTCATGTCATCAATAAACTCTATCTCTCTGTGTGTGTATCTCTCTGTGTGTGTCTGTGTGTGTGCGTGTCTCTGTGTGTGTATCTCTCTGTGTGTGTGTCTCTCTGTGCGTGTCTGTGTGTGCGCGTGTCTCTGTGTGTTTATCTCTCTGCGTGTGTCTGTGTGTGCGCGTGTCTCTGTGTGTGTATCTCTCTGTGTGTGTCTGTGTGTGTGCGTGTCTCTGTGTGTGTATCTCTCTGTGTGTGTCTGTGTGTGCGCGTGTCTCTGTGTGTGTATCTCTCTGTGTGTGTCTGTGTGTGCGCGTGTCTCTGTGTGTATCTCTCTGCGCGTGTATCTCTCTGTGTGCGTGTGTCTGTGTGTGCGTGTGTCTGTGTGTATCTCTCTGTGTGTGTCTGTGTGTGCGCGTGTCTCTGTGTGTGTATCTCTCTGCATGTATCTGTGTGTGTATCTCTCTGTGTGTATCTCTCTGTGTGTGTCTCTCTGTGTGTGTGTGTCTGTGTGTGCGCGTGTCTCTGTGTGTATCTCTCTGTGTGTATCTCTCTGTGTGTCTGTGTGTGTGCGTGTCTGTGTGTGCGCGTGTCTCTGTGTGTATCTCTCTGCGTGTGTCTCTTTGTGTATCTCTCTGTGTGTGTCTGTGTGTGCGCGTGTCTCTGTGTGTATCTCTCTGCGCGTGTCTGTGTGTGCGCGTGTCTCTGTGTGTGTATCTCTCTGTGTGTCTGTGTGTGTGCGCGTGTCTGTGTGTGTGTATCTCTCTGTGTGCGTGTCTCTGTGTGTGTATCTCTCTGTGTGCGTGTCTCTGTGTGTGTATCTCTCTGTGTGTGTATCTCTCTGCGTGTGTCTGTGTATCTCTCTGTGTGTATCTCTCTGCGTGTGTCTGCGTATCTCTCTGTGTGTGTATCTCTCTGCGCGTGTCTGTGTGTGTGCGTGTGTCTGCGTGTGTATCTCTCTGTGTGTGTCTGTGTGTGTATCTCTCTGTGCGTGTCTGTGTGTGTGCGCGTGTCTGTGTGTGTGCGCGTGTCTCCGCAGGTGGTGGAGGAGGTGGCGAGGCACGTGCTCCACGAGCTCCCGGAGCCGCTGGCCGAGCGCGAGCTCATGGAGAGGTTTCCCGTCCGCTACGACGAGTCCATGAACTCGGTGCTGGTACAGGAGGTGCTGCGGTGAGTCGCGACCGGGGCCGAAGCTACCCCAGGGCAGCCCCCTAGCAGGGCTGTGGAGGGTCGTGGGTGCCGCGGTGGCTATGAGATGTTAGCTACCTCGCCTGGTATACAGGAGGCCGTGGGTCCGATCCCGACCCTGTAGATGCCTGTTGTATAGTTGTGGTGGTGGCTATGAGATGTGAACTACTACCTCGCCTGGTATGCGGGAGGCCGTGGGTTCAATCCCGACCCTGACGACACCTGTTGTGTATAGTTGTTGTGGCTATGAGATGTGAACTATCTCGCCTGGTATACAGGAGGCCGTGGGTTCAATCCCGACCCTGTAAGATGCCTGTTGTATAGTTGTTGTGGCTATGAGATGTGAACTATCTCGCCTGGTATACAGGAGGCCGTGGGTTCAATCCCGACCCTGACGACACCTGTTGTATAGTTGTTGTGGCTATGAGATGTGAACTACTACCTCGCCTGGTATACAGGAGGCCGTGGGTTCGATCCCGACCCTGTAGATGCCTGTTGTATAGTTGTTGTGGCTATGAGATGTGGGCTACTACCTCGCCTGGTATGCGGGAGGCCGTGGGTTCGATCCCGACCCTGTAGATGCCTGTTGTATAGTTGTTGTGGCTATGAGATGTGAACTACCTCGCCTGGTATACAGGAGGCCGTGGGTTCAATCCCGACCCTGTAAGATGCCTGTTGTATAGTTGTTGTGGCTATGAGATGTGAACTACCTCGCCTGGTATACAGGAGGCCGTGGGTTCAATCCCGACCCTGACGACACCTGTTGTGTAGTTGTGGTGGCTATGAGATGTGAACTACTACCTCGCCTGGTATGCAGGAGGCCGTGGGTTCGATCCCGACCCTGTAGATGCCTGTTGTATAGTTGTTGTGGCTATGAGATGTGGGCTACTACCTCGCCTGGTATACAGGAGGCCGTGGGTTCGATCCCGACCCTGACGACACCTGTTGTATAGTTGTTGTGGCTATGAGATGTGAACTACTACCTCGCCTGGTATATGGGAGGCCGTGGGTTCGATCCCGACCCTGTAGATGCCTGTTGTATAGTTGTTGTGGCTATGAGATGTGGGCTACTACCTCGCCTGGTATATGGGAGGCCGTGGGTTCGATCCCGACCCTGTAGATGCCTGTTGTATAGTTGTTGTGGCTATGAGATGTGGGCTACTACCTCGCCTGGTATGCGGGAGGCCGTGGGTTCGATCCCGACCCTGTAGATGCCTGCTGTGTAGTTGTGGTGGCTATGAGATGTGGGCTACTACCTCGCCTGGTATACAGGAGGCCGTGGGTTCGATCCCCACCCTGTAGATGCCTGTTGTATAGTTGTTGTGGCTATGAGATGTGGGCTACTACCTCGCCTGGTATACAGGAGGCCGTGGGTTCGATCCCCACCCTGTAGATGCCTGCTGTATAGTTGTTGTGGCTATGAGATGTGAACTACTTCCTCGCCTGCTATGCAGGAGGCCGTGGGTTCGATCCCGACCCTGTAGATGCCTGCTGTATAGTTGTGGTGGCTATGAGATGTGAACTACTACCTCGCCTGGTATACAGGAGGCCGTGGGTTCGATCCCGACCCTGTAGATGCCTGTTGTGTAGTTGTGGTGGCTATGAGATGTGAACTACTACCTCGCCTGCTATCCGGGAGGCCGTGGGTTCGATCCCGACCCTGACGACACCTGTTGTATAGTTGTTGTGGCTATGAGATGTGAACTACTACCTCGCCTGGTATGCAGGAGGCCGTGGGTTCGATCCCGACCCTGTAGATGCCTGTTGTGTATAGTTGTTGTGGCTATGAGATGTGAACTATCTCGCCTGGTATACAGGAGGCCGTGGGTTCAATCCCGACCCTGACGACACCTGTTGTATAGTTGTGGTGGCTATGAGATGTGGGCTACTACCTTGCCTGGTATGCAGGAGGCCGTGGGTTCGATCCCGACCCTGTAGATGCCTGCTGTATAGTTGTGGTGGCTATGAGATGTGAACTACTACCTCGCCTGCTATACAGGAGGCCGTGGGTTCGATCCCGACCCTGTAGATGCCTGTTGTATAGTTGTTGTGGCTATGAGATGTGAACTACTACCTCGCCTGGTATACAGGAGGCCGTGGGTTCAATCCCGACCCTGTAGATGCCTGTTGTACAGTTGTTGTGGCTATGAGATGTGAACTACTACCTCGCCTGGTATACGGGAGGCCGTGGGTTCAATCCCGACCCTGTAGATGCCTGTTGTACAGTTGTTGTGGCTATGAGATGTGAACTACTACCTCGCCTGGTATACAGGAGGCCGTGGGTTCGATCCCGACCCTGACAACGCCTTGCTACAGCCTGCAGGACCCGTGTCTCCCTGTGTCTCCCTGTGTCTCCCCGTGTCTCATCTCCGCATCTCCCCGTGTCTCCCTGTGTCTCCCTGTGTCTCTCTGTGTCTCCCTGTGTCTTCCTGTGTCTCCCCGTGTCTCCCCGTGTCTCCCTGTGTCTCCCTGTGTCTCCCCGTGTCTCCCCATGTCTCCCTGTGTCTCCCCGTGTCTCATCCCCGTGTCTCCCCGTGTCTCCCCGTGTCTCCCCGTGTCTCTGTGTGTCTCTGTGTAGCTACAACCGGCTGCTGGAGGCGGTGCGCTGCAGCCTACAGGCCCTGCTGCGCGCCCTGCAGGGCCTCGTGGTGATGTCCGCCGAGCTCGAGTTGATGGCTCACAGCCTCTACAGCAACGCCGTGCCGGCACTGTGGCAGGCCAAGGTGGGACACTACGGAGACACTACGGGGACACCACAGGGACACTACAGGGACACTACAGAGACACTACAGGGACACTACAGGGACACTACAGAGACACTACAGAGACACTACAGAGACACCACGGGGACACTGAGACACCACGGGGACACTGAGACACCACGGGGACACTGAGACACCACGGGGACAACAGAGACACAGAGACACAGAGACACGGAGACACAGAGACACTACGGAGACACTACGGGGACACTACAGAGACACCACAGAGACACTACAGGGACACTACAGGGACACCACAGGGACACTACAGGGACACTACAGAGACACTACAGGGACACTACAGAGACACTACAGGGACACTACAGAGACACTACAGAGACACTACAGGGACACTACAGGGACACTACAGAGACATAGAGACACTACAGAGACACTACAGAGACACTACAGGAACACTACAGGGACACTACAGGGACACTACAGGGACACCACAGGGACACTACAGGGACACTACAGGGACACTACAGAGACACTACAGGGACACTACAGGGACACCACAGGGACACTACAGGGACACTACAGAGACACTACAGAGACACCACAGAGACACTACGGAGACACTACGGAGACACTACGGAGACACTACAGAGACACTACAGAGACACTACAGGGACACTACAGAGACACTACAGGGACACTACAGAGACACTACAGGGACACTACAGGGACACTACAGAGACATAGAGACACTACAGAGACACTACAGAGACACTACAGGAACACTACAGGGACACTACAGCGACACTACAGGGACACCACAGGGACACTACAGGGACACTACAGGGACACTACAGAGACACTACAGGGACACTACAGGGACACCACAGGGACACTACAGGGACACTACAGAGACACTACAGAGACACCACAGAGACACTACGGAGACACTACAGAGACACTACAGAGACACTACAGAGACACTACAGAGACACTACAGAGACACTACAGAGACACCACAGAGACACTACAGAGACACTACAGAGACACTACAGGGACACTACAGAGACACTACAGGGACACTACAGGGACACTACAGAGACACTACAGAGACACCACAGGGACACTATAGAGACACTACAGAGACACTACAGAGACACCACAGAGACACTACAGGGACACTACAGAGACACTACAGAGACACTACAGAGACACTACAGAGACACTACAGGGACACTACAGGGACACTACAGAGACACTACAGAGACACTACAGGGACACTACAGAGACACTACAGGGACACTACAGAGACACTACAGGGACACTACAGAGACACTACAGGGACACTACAGGGACACTACAGGGACACTACAGAGACACTACAGGGACACTACGGGGACACTACGGGGACACTACAGAGACACCACAGGGACACTACAGAGACACTACAGAGACACTACAGAGACACCACAGAGACACTACAGGGACACTACAGGGACACTACAGAGACACTACAGGGACACTACGGGGACACTACGGGGACACTACAGAGACACTACAGAGACACCACAGAGACACTACAGGGACACTACAGAGACACCACAGAGACACCACAGGGACACTACAGAGACACTACAGAGACACTACAGGGACACTACAGGGACACTACAGAGACACTACAGGGACACCACGGAGACACCACGGAGACACGGAGACACAGGGACATGGGGACATAGAGACAAAGAGACACTACGGGGACACCACAGAGACACAGAGACACTAAGGAGACACAGAGATACGGAGACACCACGGGGAGACAGAGACATGGGGATGTGGAGACACGGTGGTGATGGTGGTGATGGTGGTGATGGTGATGGTGGTGTGACGCTGGTGGTGTGACGCTGGTGGTGTGATGATGACGATGATGACGGTGATGACGCTGGTGGTGGTGTGACGCTGGTGGTGTGACGGTGATGACGCTGGTGGTGTGACGGTGATGGTGATGACGCTGGTGGTGTGACGGTGGTGGTGTGACGCTGGTGGTGGTAGTGACGCTGGTGGTGTGACGGTGGTGATGACGATGATGACGGTGATGTCGCTGGTGGTGTGACGCTGGTGGTGTGACGGTGACGCTGGTGATGATGACGGTGATGACGCTGGTGGTGTGACGCTGGTGGTGTGACGGTGACGCTGGTGATGATGACGGTGATGTCGCTGGTGGTGTGACGCTGGTGGTGTGACGGTGACGCTGGTGATGATGACGGTGATGACGCTGGTGGTGTGACGCTGGTGGTGGTGACGGTGACGCTGGTGATGATGACGGTGATGTCGCTGGTGGTGTGACGCTGGTGGTGTGACGGTGACGCTGGTGATGATGACGGTGATGACGCTGGTGGTGTGACGCTGGTGGTGGTGACGGCGATGATGATGATGGTGATGACGCTGGTGGTGGTGTGACGCTGGTGGTGGTGTGACGCTGGTGCCGGTGGTGCCACCCTGCAGGCCTACCCCTCCCTGAAGCCACTGGCTGCTTGGCTGTGTGAGCTGTGTCGCCGCGTCGACTTCGTGGGCCGCTGGGCGGCCTCCGACGGCCCTCCGGCCTCCTTCTGGATCGGGGGCCTCTTCTTTCCGCAGGCCTTCCTGACGGGCACCCTACAGAACCACGCCCGCCGCACCGGCACGCCCATCGACACCCTCTCATTCACATTCCAGGTCACTCCGTGGGTCTCTGTGGGTCTCTGTGGGTGTCTGTGGGTGTCTGTGTGGTGTCTGTGGGTCTCTGTGTGGGTCTCTATGGGTGTCTATGGGTCTCTATGGGTGTCTATGGGTCTCTATGAGTCGCTATGAGTGTCTATGGGTCTCTATGGGTGTCTATGGGTCTCTGTGTGTCTCTGTGGGTCTCTGTGGGTCTCTATGGGTGTCTGTGGGTCTCTATGGGTGTCTATGGGTCTCTATGGGTGTCTATGGGTCTCTATGGGTGTCTATGAGTCTCTGTGGGTCTCTGTGGGTCTCTATGGGTGTCTATGGGTCTCTGTGGGTCTCTGTGGGTCTCTATGGGTGTCTATGAGTCTCTGTGGGTCTCTGTGGGTCTCTATGGGTGTCTATGGGTCTCTGCCTTCCTGACGGGCACCCTACAGAACCACGCCCGCCGCACCGGCACGCCCATCGACACCCTCTCATTCACATTCCAGGTCACTCCGTGGGTCTCTGTGGGTCTCTGTGGGTGTCTGTGAGTCTCTGTGGGTGTCTGGGGTGTCTGTGGGTGTCTTTGTGGTGAGTCTGTGGGTGTCTGTGGGTCTCTGTGTGGGTGTCTGTGAGTGTCTGTGGGTCTCTGTGTGGGTGTCTGTGGGTCTCTGTGGGTCTCTGTGGTGAGTCTGTGGGTGTCTGTGGGTGTCTATGTGTGTGTCTGTGGGTCTCTGTGGGTCTCTGTGTGGGTGTCTGTGAGTGTCTGTGGGTGTCTGTGTGGGTGTCTGTGGGTCTCTGTGGGTGTCTGTGTGTGTCTGTGGGTCTCTGTGAGTGTCTTTGTGGTGAGTCTGTGGGTGTCTGTGGGTGTCTGTGGGTCTCTATGAGTGTCTATGGGTGTCTATGAGTGTCTCTGTGGGTCTCTATGAGTGTCTATGGGTCTCTATGGGTCTCTATGAGTGTCTATGGGTCTCTGTGGGTCTCTATGGGTCTCTGTGTGAGGTGAGTCTGTGTGTGTGTGAAGTGAGTCTGTGGGTGTCTATGTGGTGGTGAGTCTGTGGGTCTCTGTGGGTGTCTGTGTGTGTCTGTGGGTCTCTGTGAGTGTCTTTGTGGTGAGTCTGTGGGTGTCTGTGGGTGTCTGTGGGTCTCTATGAGTGTCTATGGGTGTCTATGAGTGTCTCTGTGGGTCTCTATGAGTGTCTATGGGTCTCTATGGGTCTCTATGAGTGTCTATGGGTCTCTGTGGGTCTCTATGGGTCTCTGTGTGAGGTGAGTCTGTGTGTGTGTGAAGTGAGTCTGTGGGTGTCTATGTGGTGGTGAGTCTGTGGGTCTCTGTGGGTGTCTGTGGGTGTCTGTGTGGTGAGTCTATGGGTGTCTCTGGGTCTCTATGGGTGTCTATGGGTCTCTGTAGGTCTCTGTGGGTCTCTGTAGGTCTCTATGGGTGTCTATGGGTCTCTATGGGTGTCTATGGGTCTCTATGGGTGTCTATGAGTCTCTATGGGTCTCTATGGGTGTCTATGGGTCTCTATGGGTCTCTGTGGGTCTCTATGAGTGTCTATGGGTCTCTATGGGTGTCTATGGGTCTCTATGGGTCTCTATGAGTGTCTATGGGTCTCTGCCTTCCTGACGGGCACCCTACAGAACCACGCCCGCCGCACCGGCACGCCCATCGACACCCTCTCATTCACATTCCAGGTCACTCCGTGGGTCTCTGTGAGTCTCTGTGGGTGTCTGTGAGTCTCTGTGTGGGTGTCTGTGAGTGTCTGTGGGTGTCTGTGAGTGTCTGTGGGTGTCTGTGGGTGTCTATGGGTGTCTGTGGGTGTCTATGTGGGTCTCTGTGGGTGTCTGTGAGTGTCTGTGGGTGTCTGTGAGTGTCTGTGTGGTGAGTCTGTGTGGGTGTCTGTGGGTGTCTTTGTGGGTCTCTGTGGGTGTCTGTGAGTGTCTGTGAGTGTCTGTGAGTCTCTGTGTGGGTGTCTGTGGGTGTCTGTGGGTCTCTGTGTGGGTGTCTGTGGGTGTCTGTGGGTCTCTGTGGGTCTCTATAGGTATCTATCGGTCTTCATGGATGTCTGTGGGTCTCTATGGATCTCTATGGGTGTCTATGGATCTCTATGGGTGTGTGTGGGACTCTTTGGGTGTCTGTGGGACTCTGCGGGTCTCTGTGGGTCTCTAGCCACCCCAAATATCCAACAGGCATCCTTAGCATCGGGATTGAACCCACGACCACCTGCGTACCAGGTGAGGTAGTTAACATCTACCCTCGGGGAGAGAGACAGAGACACGCAAACTCCAAATTTTCAACGGGCATACTCACGGTCGGGATTGAACCGTGCAACCTCACGCGTTTCAGGCGAGGTAGTCAACATTTCATCGTGGTTTTGATTGAGCTGACGACCTCCTGCATACACGTTGAGGGAGTTAACATCTCGTCAAAGCCGGGATCGAACCCACGACCTCCCACATACCAGGCGAGGTAGTTAACATCTCATCAGGGTCTTGATCAAACCCACGACCTCCTGTCTACCAGGCGAGGTAGTCAGCATCTCATCAGGGTCTTGATCAAACCCACGACCTCCTGTCTACCGGGCGAGGTAGTCAACATCTCATCAGGGTTGGGATGAAACCCACGACCTCCTGCACACCAGGCGAGGTAGTCAACATCTCATCAGGGTTGGGATGAAACCCACGACGTCCTGTCTACCAGGCGAGGTAGCGAACATCTCATCAAAGCCGGGATCGAACCCACGACCTCCTGCACACCAGGCGAGGTAGTCAACATCTCATCAGGGTTGGGATGAAACCCACGACCTCCTGTCTACCAGGCGAGGTAGCGAACATCTCATCAATGCCGGGATCAAACCCAGGACCTCCCACGTACTAGGCGAGGTAGGCAACATCTCATCAGGGTTGGGATGAAACCCACGACCTTCTGCATACCAGGCGAGGTGGTTAACATCTCATCAATGCCGGGATCAAACCCACGATCTCCCGCGTACCGGGCGAGGTAGTTAACATCTCGTCAGTCGGGATCAAACCCACGATCTCCCGCGTACCGGGCGAGGTAGTTAACATCTCGTCAGTCGGGATCGAACCCACGACCTCCCGCGTACCAGGCGAGGTAGTTAACATCTCATCAGGGTCTTGATCGAACCCACGATCTCCCGCGAACCGGGCGAGGTAGTGAACATCTCATCAGGGTCGGGATAGAACCCACGACCTTCTGCATACCAGGCGAGGTGGTTAACATCTCATCAGGGTTGGGATGAAACCCACGATCTCCTGCACACCAGGCGAGGTAGTTAACATCTCATCAGGATCTTGATCAAACCCACGACCTCCCGCGTACCGGGCGAGGTAGCGAACATCTCATCAGGGTTGGAATCAAACCCACGACCTCCCGCGTACCAGGCGAGGTATTCAACATTTCATCAGGGTCTTGATGGAACCCGTGACCTCCCGTGTACCAGGCGAGGTAGCGAACATCTCATCAGGGTTGGAATCAAACCCACGACCTCCTGCACACCAGGCGAGGTAGTCAACATCTCATCAGGGTTGGGATGAAACCCACGACCTCCTGTCTACCAGGCGAGGTAGCGAACATCTCATCAATGCCGGGATCAAACCCACGATCTCCCGCGAACCGGGCGAGGTAGTGAACATCTCATCAGGGTCGGGATAGAACCCACGACCTTCTGCATACCAGGCGAGGTGGTTAACATCTCATCAGGGTCGGGATCGAACCCACGACCTCCCGCGTACCGGGCGAGGTAGTTAACATCTCATCAGGGTCTTGATCAAACCCACGACCTCCCGCGTACCAGGCGAGGTAGCGAACATCTCATCAATGCCGTGATTGAACCCACGACCTCCCGCGTACCAGGCGAGGTAGTGAACATCTCATCAATGCCGTTATTGAACCCACGACCTCCCGTGTACCGGGCGAGGTAGCGAACATCTCATCAGGGTTGGGATCGAACCCACGACCTTCTGCGTACCGGGCGAGGTAGCGAACATCTCATCAGGGTCGGGATCGAACTGACGATCGCCTGCATACCAGGCGAGGTGGTTATCATCTCATCAGGGTTGGGATGAAACCCACGATCTCCTGCACACCAGGCGAGGTAGTTAACATCTCATCAGGATCTTGATCAAACCCACGACCTCCCGCGTACCTGGCGAGGTAGCGGACATCTCATCAATGCCGTGATTGAACCCACGACCTCCCGCGTATCGGGCGAGGTAGCGAACATCTCATCAATGCCGTGATCGAACCCGCGACCTCCCGCGTATCGGGCGAGGTAGTTAACATCTCATCAATGCCGTGATCGAACCCGCGACCTCCCGCGTACCGGGCGAGGTAGTTAACATCTCATCAGGGTCTTGATCGAACCCACGACCTTCTGCGTACCGGGCGAGGTAGTGAACATCTCATCAGGGTCGGGATCGAACTCACGATCGCCTGCATACCAGGCGAGGTGGTTAACATCTCATCAGGGTTGGGATGAAACCCACGATCTCCTGCACACCAGGCGAGGTAGTTAACATCTCATCAGGATCTTGATCAAACCCACGACTTCCTGCGTACCAGGCGAGGTATTCAACATCTCATCAGGGTCTTGATGGAACCCGCGACCTCACGCGTACCGGGCGAGGTAGCGAACATCTCATCAGGGTCGGGATCGAACCCGGGATGGAACCCGCGACCTCCTGCGGACCAGGCGAGGTAGTTAACATCTCATCAGGGTCCTGATCAAACCCACGACCTCCTGCACACCAGGCGAGGTAGCGAACATCTCATCAGGGTCTTGATGTAACCCACGACCTCCCGCGTACCGGGCGAGGTAGCGAACACCTCATCAGGGTCGGGATCGAACCCGGGATGGAACCCGCGACCTCCCGCGTACCGAGCGAGGTAGCGAACATCTCATCAGGGTTGGAATCAAACCCACAACCTCCCGCGTACCGGGCGAGGTAGCGAACATCTGTCGCTGTCCCCCCCAGGTGATGCGCGAGTCGGCCGAGGCCCTGGTGCGGCCGCCAAGCTCCGGCTGCTTCGTCTGGGGCCTCTTCCTGGAGGGCGCCCGCTGGGACACTCCCAGCGGCCTCCTGGCCGAGTCACTGCCTCGGCAGTTGCACACCGCCATGGCCGTACTGTGGCTCAGGCCTAGTGAGCACCGCCGGCAGCAGCAGCAGCTGCAGGGAGGGCTCAGCGGCGATGGCGACGATGGCGACGCAGAAGCCGGAGTCTACCGCTGCCCCGTCTACAAGACACTGGCACGAGCCGGTGAGCGGGGAGAACGGTGGTGGTGGTGGTGGTGGTGAGGGTGGTGGTGGTGAGGGTGGTGGTGGTTGTGGTGGTGGTGGTGATGGTGAGGGTGGTGGTGGTGGTGGTGAGGGTGGTGGTGGTGAGGGTGGTGAGGGTGGTGGTGGTGAGGGTGGTGGTGGTGAGGGTGGTGGTGAGGGTGGTGGTGATGGTGATGGTGGTGGTGGTGATGGTGGTGGTGGTGGTGATGGTGGTGGTGGTGGTGAGGGTGGTGGTGGTGAGGGTGGTGGTGGTGGTGGTGAGGGTGGTGGTGGTGAGGGTGGTGGTGGTGATGGTGGTGGTGAGGGTGGTGGTGGTGATGGTGGTGGTGATGGTGAGGGTGGTGGTGGTGGGGGTGATGGTGAGGGTGGTGGTGGTGGGGGTGGTGGTGATGGTGATGGTGGTGGTGGTGATGGTGGTGGTGGTGGTGGTGGTGATGGTGGTGGTGATGGTGGTGGTGGTGAGGGTGGTGCTGGTGGTGATGGTGGTGGTGAGGGTGGTGGTGGAGAGGGTGGTGGTGGTGATGGTGATGGTGGTGGCGATGGTGGTGGTGAGGGTGGTGGTGGTGAGGGTGGTGCTGGTGGTGATGGTGGTGGTGGTGGTGAGGGTGGTGATGGTGGTGGTGATGGTGGTGATGGTGGTGGTGTTGGTGGTGATGTTGATGGTGATGATGATGGTGGCGATGATGATGGTGGTGGCGGTGATTGTGGTGGTGGTGGTAATGGTGGTGATAGTAGTGGTGGTGGTGATGATGATGATGCTAGTGGTGATGATGATGGTGCTAGTGGTGGTGATGATGATGATGATGGTGCTAGTGGTGGTGATAGTCTGGTGGTGAAAGTGGTGGTGACAATCCGCTTATTGCCACTACAGCAGCTAAATGGGGGCTCTGGATGGGTGCACGGGGCTGGTAATCCCTCCACCTTCAACCTATCACTAAACCACGTGTTACAAATCTAACCAAACTTGTGCCGGAGGCCCCGGGGGGACAGGCGTCTCTGACGTCTCCTGGCCAACCCCAAATTGGCGGAGCCAGGAGATTGAATCTCTACCCTCGGGGCTCCTCCAGAAACAGCAAAAAGCCACTTCGTGTGGCCACGTGGAATGTTCGAACGCTCACTGCGGATGAGAGGTTCCTCTGTCGGGAGCTGGACCGGTACCGCCTAGACCTCTGTGGTATTCAGGAGGTCCGGTGGACCGGTTCTGCCTCCTGCCACCATGAGGGGTGGACAGTCCTCTACTCGGGGCAGCAGACTGCCAAACAACAGGGTGTGGCTCTTCTTCTGAACAAAAGAATGAAGGGGGCGTGGGAGCGTGGCGGTGAGGTGTGGGAAGCTGTAAGCCCCAGGCTACTTTGGGCTCGCCTTCCCGTCAACCGGAGGCGAGGAATGGTGGTCATGGTTACTTATGCTCCCACCGAAGATGAACATCCGTGGAGGGATGCAGGCAAAGCCGATGAGTCAGATGCCTTCTATGACCTCCTGTCACTGGTGCTGGCTAAAGTGGCCCCTCGGGATAGAGTCATCTCGTTGGGTGACTTCAATGCCCGAGTTGGTCATGATGCTGGCACCTGGTCTGGAGTGATTGGAGGGCATGGGCCAGATCAGCTCAATAACAACGGTAGGAGGCTGCTAGATTTTTGTGCAGCCCATGGGCTTGTAATTACCAACACGCTGTTCCGGCATCGGTGCATCCACACAACATCATGGATGCATGCCGGGTCCAAGCAAGAACATCTGCTGGACTACATAGCGACGGAACAGTGGATACTGGACCCTGTAGTTGATTGTGTGAGGAGTTAACAAATCCTTGAAATATCTGGACACAGTCTAATCGGTGAGCTCCTCCGGCAGGCAAGGCTGCGCTGGTTGGTAGCCAGCATGCCCAGCCACCGCATGCCCGAAGCAGCTTCTGTTTGGCCACATTGAGGGGGCTGAACGGGCACGACATGGGCTGAAGAAGAGATGGGATGATGGTTGAGTTAGTGCGTGGGTGAGTTAGTGCGTGGGCGAGTTAGTGAGTGGGCGAGTTAGTGAGTGGGTGGGTGAGTGAGTGGGTGAGTTAGTGCGTGGGTGAGTTAGTGAGTGGGTGAGTGAGTGAGTGCGTGGGCGAGTTAGTGCGTGGGTGAGTTAGTGAGTGGGCGAGTTAGTGAGTGAGCAAGTTAGTGATTGGGTGAGTTAGTGCTTGGGTGAGTGAGTGAGTGAGTGGGCGAGTTAGTGCGTGGGTGAGTTAGTGAGTGGGTGAGTGAGTGAGTGAGTGGGCGAATTAGTGCGTGGGTGAGTTAGTGAGTGGGCGAGTTAGTGCGTGGGTGAGTTAGTGAGTGGGTGAGTTAGTGAGTGGGTGAGTTAGTGAGTGGGCGAGTTAGTGCGTGAGCGAGTTAGTGAGTGGGTGAGTTAGTGAGTGGGTGAGTTAGTGAGTGGGCAAGTTAGTGCGTGGGTGAGTTAGTGCGTGAGCGAGTTAGTGAGTGGGTGAGTTAGTGAGTGGGTGAGTTAGTGAGTGAGCGAGTTAGTGCGTGGGTGAGTTAGTGAGTGAGCGAGTTAGTGAGTGGGTGAGTTAGTGAGTGGGTGAGTTAGTGAGTGAGCAAGTTAGTAATTGGGTGAGTTAGTGCGTGGGTGAGTTAGTGAGTGGGTGAGTGAGTGAGTGGGTGAGTTAGTGAGTGGGTGAGTGAGTGAGTGGGTGAGTTAGTGAGTGGGTGAGTGAGTGAGTGGGTGAGTTAGTGAGCAAGTTAGTGAGTGGGCGAGTTAGTGAGTGGGTGGGTGAGTGAGTGGGTGAGTTAGTGAGTGAGCGAGTTAGTGCATGGGTGAGTTAGTGAGTGGTTGAGTTAGTGAGTGGGTGAGTGAGTGAGTGGGCGAGTTAGTTAGATGGTGATGATAATGGTGACGATGATGGTGATAATGGTGATGATGGTGATGATAATGTTGACGATGATGGTGATAATGGTGATGATGATGGTGATGATGATGGTGATGACGATGGCGATGGTGATGATGATGGTGATGATGGTGATGACGATGATGGTGATGATGGTGATTATGATGATAATGGTGATGATGATGGTGATGATGGTGATGACGATGATGGTGATGATGGTGATTATGATGATAATGGTGATGATGGTGATGATGATGATGGTGATGATGGTGATGATGATGGTGGTGATGATAGTGATGGTGATGATGGTGATGACGATGGTGATGATGATGGTGATGATGGTGATGGTGATGACAATGATGGTGATGACAATGATGGTGATGATGGTGATGACGATGGTGATGACGATGGTGATGTTGGTGATGATGATGGTGGTGATGATGGTAATGATGATGGTAATGATGATGGTGATGATGGTGATGATGATGGTGATGATAATGGTGATGATGACAATGATGATGGCGATGATGGTGATGGTGATGATGGTGATGAAAATGATGATGGTGATGATAGTGATGGTGATGATGGTGATGACGATGATGATGGTGATGATGGTGATGACAATGATGGTGATGATGATGATTATGGTGATGATGGTGATGGCAATGATGGTGACGATGGTGATGATGATGATGATAGTGATGATGGTGATGATGGTGATGATGATGATGGTGATGACAATGATGGTGATAATGGTTATGATGATGGTGATGGCGATGATGGTGACGATGGTGATGATGATAGTGATGATGATGGTGATGACGATGGTGATGATGGTGATGACGGTGATGATGGTGATGGTGAAAGTGATGACAATGATGATGGTGATGATGATGATGATAGTGATGATGATGATGGTGATGATGATGGTGATGATGATGGTGATGATAGTGATGGTGATGATAGCGATGATGATGGTGATGATGATGATAGTGATGACAATGATGGTGATGATGACGATGGTGATGACGATGATGGTGATGACAATGACAATGATGATGGTGATGACAATGACAATGATGATGGTGATGACGATGATGGTGATGACAATGACAATGATGATGATGATGGTGATGACGATGATGGTGATGACAATGATGATGGTGATGACAATGACAATGATGATGGTGATGACAATGATGATGGTGATGATGATGATGATGGTGATGACAGTGATGACAATGATGGTGATGATGGTGATGACAATGATGACGATGATGACAATGACGGTGATGATGGTGATGACAATGATGACGATGATGACAATGACGGTGATGATGGTGATGATGGTGATAATGGTGATGACAATGATGATGGTGATGATGATGATGGTGATGACAGTGATGATGGTGATGATAGTGATGACAATGATGACGATGATGACAATGATGATGGTGATGATGGTGATGATGATGGTGATAGTGATGACAATGACAATGATGACAATGACAATGATGATGGTGATGATGATGATGGTGATGATGATCGTGATGACAATGATGATGATGATAGTGATGACAATGATGGTGATAGTGATGACAGTGATGATGGTGATGATGATGGTGATAGTGATGACAATGATTACAATGATGACAATGACAATGATGATGGTGATGGTGATGACAATGATGATGATGATAGTGATGACAATGATGGTGACAATGATGACAATGATGACGATGATGACAATGATGGTGATGATGATGGTGATGATGATGGTGATGACAATGATGGTGATAGTGATGACAATGATGACAATGATGGTGACAATGATGACAATGATGACGATGATGACAATGATGGTGATGATGATGGTGACAATGGTGATGATGGTGATGATGGTGATGGTGATAGTGATGACAATGATGATGGTGATGATGGTTATGATGGTGATGATGATGATGGTCATGATGGTGATGATGGTTATGATGGTGATGATGATGGTGATGATGATGGTGATGATGATGGTGATGATGATCGTGATGACAATGACGATGATGATAGTGATGATGATGGTGATGACAATGACAATGATGACAATGACAATGATGACAATGATGATGGTGATGACAATGATTACAATGATGACAATGATGGTGATGATGGTGATAGTGTTGACAATGATGACAATGATGATGCTGATGACAATGATGGTGATGATGGTGATGATGATGGTGATGATAGTGATAATGGTGATGATGACAATGACAATGATGATGATGGTGATGATGGTGATGGTGATGACAATGATTACAATGATGACAATGATGGTGATGATGGTGATAGTGTTGACAATGATGACAATGATGATGCTGATGACAATGATGGTGATGATGGTGATGATGATGGTGATGATAGTGATAATGGTGATGATGACAATGACAATGATGATGATGGTGATGATGGTGATGGTGATGACAATGACAATGATGACGGTGATGGTGGTGATGATGGTGATGATGGTTCCAGGAACCCTGTCCACCACCGGCCACTCCACCAACTTCGTGCTGGCTATCGACCTGCCGAGTGACCGCAGGCAGAGCCACTGGGTCAAGCGTGGAGTTGCCTTGCTGTGTGCACTCGACTACTAACAGGTACTACAGTGGTACTAACAGGTACTCACAGGTACCAACAGGTACTATAGTGGTACCAACAGGTACTATAGTGGTAGTACAGGTACTACAGTGGTACCAGCAGGTACCAGCAGGTACTACAGTGGTCAAGCGTGGAGTTGCCTTGCTGTGTGCACTCGACTACTAACAGGTACTACAGTGGTACTAACAGGTACTATAGTGGTACTATAGTGGTCAAGCGTGGAGTTGCCTTGCTGTGTGCACTCGACTACTGACCAGCTACTAACAGGTACTACAGTGGTACCAGCAGGTACTATAGTGGTACCAGCAGGTACTATAGTGGTCAAGCGTGGAGTTGCCTTGCTGTGTGCACTCGACTACTAACAGGTACTACAGTGGTACTAACAGGTACTATAGTGGTACCAGCAGGTACTACAGTGGTCAAGCGTGGAGTTGCCTTGCTGTGTGCACTCGACTACTAACAGGTACTATAGTGGTACCAGCAGGTACTATAGTGGGAACCAACAGGTACTACAGTGGTACTAACAGGTACTATAGTGGTCAAGCGTGGAGTTGCCTTGCTGTGTGCACTCGACTACTAACAGGTACTACAGTGGTACTAACAGGTACTACAGTGGTACCAGCAGGTACTACAGTGGTAGTACAGGTACCAGCAGGTACTATAGTGGTACAGCAGGTACTACAGTGGTACAGCAGGTACTATAGTGGTAGTACAGGTACTACAGTGGTACCAGCAGGTACTACAGTGGTCAAGCGTGGAGTTGCCTTGCTGTGTGCACTCGACTACTAACAGGTACTACAGTGGTACTAACAGGTACTATAGTGGTACCAGCAGGTACTACAGTGGTCAAGCGTGGAGTTGCCTTGCTGTGTGCACTCGACTACTAACAGGTACTACAGTGGTACCAGCAGGTACTATAGTGGTACCAGCAGGTACTATAGTGGTCAAGCGTGGAGTTGCCTTGCTGTGTGCACTCGACTACTAACAGGTACTACAGTGGTACCAGCAGGTACTATAGTGGTACCAGCAGGTACTATAGTGGGAACCAACAGGTACTACAGTGGTACTAACAGGTACTATAGTGGTCAAGCGTGGAGTTGCCTTGTTGTGTGCACTCGACTACTAACAGGTACTACAGTGGTACTAACAGGTACTATAGTGGTACCAGCAGGTACTACAGTGGTCAAGCGTGGAGTTGCCTTGCTGTGTGCACTTGACTACTAACAGGTACTCACAGGTACTACAGTGGTACCAACAGGTACTATAGTGGTAGTACAGGTACTACAGTGGTACTAACAGGTACTATAGTGGTCAAGCGTGGAGTTGCCTTGCTGTGTGCACTCGACTACTAACAGGTACTCACAGGTACTATAGTGGTACCAACAGGTACTATAGTGGTAGTACAGGTACTACAGTGGTACTAACAGGTACTATAGTGGTCAAGCGTGGAGTTGCCTTGCTGTGTGCACTCGACTACTGAGCAGGTACTAACAGGTACTATAGTGGTACCAGCAGGTACCAGCAGGGCCTACAGTGGTACCAGCAGGTACTATAGTGGTAGTACAGGTACTACAGTGGTACCAGCAGGTACTACAGTGGTACCAACAGGTACTATAGTGGTACTATAGTGGTACTAACAGGTACTATAGTGGTCAAGCGTGGAGTTGCCTTGCTGTGTGCACTCGACTACTAACAGGTACTCACAGGTACTACAGTGGTACAGCAGGTACTATAGTGGTACCAACAGGTACTATAGTGGTACTAACAGGTACTACAGTGGTACTAACAGGTACTATAGTGGTACCAACAGGTACTATAGTGGTACTGCAGGTACTAACAGGTACTATAGTGGTACCAGCAGGTACTACAGTGGTACTGCAGGTACTAACAGGTACTATAGTGGTACCAGCAGGTACTACAGTGGTACTAACAGGTACCAACAGGTACTACAGTGGTAGTACAGGTACTACAGTGGTACCAGCAGGTACTATAGTGGTACCAGCAGGGCCTATAGTGGGAACCAACAGGTACTATAGTGGTACCAACAGGTACTACAGTGGTACTAACAGGTACTATAGTGGTCAAGCATGGAGTTGCCTTGCTGTGTACACTCGACTACTAACAGGTACCATAGTGGTACTAACAGGTACCAACAGGTACTACAGTGGTACTAACAGGTACTATAGTGGTCAAGCGTGGAGTTGCCTTGCTGTGTACACTCGACTACTAAGCAGGTACTACAGTGGTACCAGCAGGTACTACAGTGGTAGAACAGGTACTATAGTGGTACTGCAGTGGTCAAGCGTGGAGCTGCCTTGCTGTGTGCACTCGACTACTGAGCAGGTACTACAGTGGTACCAACAGGTACCAACAGGTACTATAGTGGTACTAACAGGTACCAACAGGTACTATAGTGGTCAAGCGTGGAGTTGCCTTGCTGTGTGCACTCGACTACTAACAGGTACCAACAGGTACTACAGTGGTACCAGCAGGTACCACTGTAGTACCAACAGGTACTATAGTGGTACCAGCAGGTACTACAGTGGTACCAGCAGGTACTATAGTGGTACCAACAGGTACTATAGTGGTACTAACAGGTACTACAGTGGTACCAACAGGTACTATAGTGGTACCAGCAGGTACTATAGTGGTACCAGCAGGTACTATAGTGGTACCAGCAGGTACCAGCAGGTACTATAGTGGTACCAGCAGGTACTATAGTGGTAGTACAGGTACTATAGTGGTACCAGCAGGTACCAGCAGGTACTATAGTGGTACCAGCAGGTACTACAGTGGTACCAGCAGGTACTATAGTGGTAGTACAGGTACTATAGTGGTACCAGCAGGTACTATAGTGGTACCAGCAGGTACTATAGTGGTACCAGCAGGTACCAACAGGTACTACAGTGGTACCAGCAGGTACTATAGTGGTACCAACAGGTACTATAGTGGTACCAGCAGGTACCAACAGGTACTACAGTGGTCAAGCGTGGAGTTGCCTTGCTGTGTGCACTCGACTACTAACAGGTACTATAGTGGTACCAGCAGGTACTATAGTGGTACTGCAGGTACCAGCAGGTACTATAGTGGTACCAACAGGTACTAGCAGGTACTACAGTGGGACCAGCAGGTACTAGCAGGTACTACAGTGGGACCAGCAGGTACCAACAGGTACAATAGTGGTAGTACAGGTACTATAGTGGTACCAGCAGGTACTACAGTGGTACCAACAGGGTCTACAGTGGTAGTACAGGTACTACAGTGGTATTGCAGGTACTATAGTGGTACCAGCAGGTACTATAGTGGTACCAGCAGGTACTACAGTGGTACCAGCAGGTACTATAGTGGTCCTACAGTGGTACTAACAGGTCCTACAGTGGTACTAACAGGTACTAACAGGTACCAGCAGGTACTATAGTGGTAGTACAGGTACTACAGTGGTACCAGCAGGTACTATAGTGGTACCAGCAGGTACTACAGTGGTACTAACAGGTACTATAGTGGTACCAGCAGGTACTATAGTGGTACCAGCAGGTACTACAGTGGTACTAACAGGTACTATAGTGGTACCAGCAGGTACTACAGTGGTACTAACAGGTACTATAGTGGTACCAGCAGGTACTATAGTGGTACCAGCAGGTACTACAGTGGTACTAACAGGTACTATAGTGGTACCAGCAGGTACTATAGTGGTACCAGCAGGTACTATAGTGGTACCAGCAGGTACTATAGTGGTCAAGCGTGGAGTTGCCTTGCTGTGTGCACTCGACTACTGAGCAGGTACCAACAGGTACCAACAGGGCCTGCAGTGGTAGTACAGGTACTACAGTGGTACTACAGTGGTACTGCAGGTACTACAGTGGTACTGCAGGTACTACAGTGGTAGTACAGTGGTATTAGCAGGTCCTACAGTGGTACTAACAGGTACTACAGTGGTACCAACAGGTACTACAGTGGTACCAGCAGGTACTATAGTGGTACTGCAGGTACTACAGTGGTACCAGCAGGTACTACAGTGGTCCCAGCAGGTACTATAGTGGTACTAACAGGTACTACAGTGGTACCAGCAGGTACTACAGTGGTAGTACAGGTACTATTGTGGTACTATAGTGGTACTATAGTGGTACCAGCAGGTACTATAGTGGTACTAACAGGTACTACAGTGGTACCAGCAGGTACTATAGTGGTCAAGCGTGGAGTTGCCTTGCTGTGTACACTCGACTACTAACAGGTACCAACAGGTACCAACAGGTACTATAGTGGTACCAGCAGGTACCAACAGGTACCAACAGGTACTATAGTGGTACCAACAGGTACTATAGTGGTACCAACAGGTACTATAGTGGTACCAACAGGTACTATAGTGGTACCAGCCGGTACTACATTGGTAGTACAGGTACTATAGTGGTACTAACAGGTACTATAGTGGTACCAACAGGTACTATAGTGGTCAAGCGTGGAGTTGCCTTGCTGTGTGCACTCGACTACTGAGCAGGTACCAACAGGGCCTACAGTGGTACCAGCAGGTACCAACAGGTACTACAGTGGTACCAACAAGGCCTATAGTGGTACCAGCAGGTACTAACAGGTACCAACAGGTACTAACAGGGCCTACAGTGGTACCAGCAGGGCCTACAATGGTAGTACAGGTACTACAGTGGTACCAGCAGGTACTATAGTGGTACTAACAGGTACCAACAGGGCCTACAGTGGTACTGCAGGTACTAACAAGTCCTACAGTGGTAGTACAGTGGTACTGCAGGTACCAGCAGGGCCTACAGTGGTACCAGCAGGTCCTACAGTGGTACCAGCAGGTCCTATAGTGGTACCAACAGGTCCTACAGTGGTACTAACAGGTCCTACAGTGGTACCAACAGGTCCTATAGTGGCACCAACAGGTCCTACAGTGGTACTGGAGGTCCTACAGTGGTACTAACAGGTACTACAGTGGTACTAACAGGTTCTACAGTGGTACTAACAGGTCCTATAGTGGTACTGACAGGTCCTTTAGTGGTACTAACAGGTCCTATAGTGGTACTAACAGGTACTACAGTGGTACTGACAGGTTCTACCAGGTTCTACAGTGGTACTAACAGGTACTACAGTGGTACTGGAGGTCCTACAGTGGTACTAACAGGTACTACAGTGGTACTACCAGGTCTACAGTGGTACTACAGTGGTACTACAGTGGTACTGCAGGTCCTACAGTGGTACTAGAGTGGTACTAACAGGTACTACAGTGGTACTACATTGGTGATACAGTGGTACTGCAGGTACTACCAAGTTCTACAGTGGAACTACAGTGGCCCTACAGTGGTAGTACAGTGGTACTACAATGGTACTACCAGGTACTAGAGTGGTACTAGAGTGGTACTACAGTGGTACTACAGTGGTAGTACCAGGGTCTACAGTGGTACTACAGTGGTACTAGAGTGGTACTGCAGTGGTACTACAGTGGTACTGCAGGTCCTACAGTGGTACTAACATGTCCTACAGTGGTCCTACAGTGGTACTAGAGTGGTAGTACAGTGGTACTGCAGGTACTACCAGGTGCTATAGTGGTACTACCAGGTCCTACAGTGGTACTACAGTGGTACTACCAGGTACTAGAGTGGTACTAGAGTGGTACTACAGTGGTACTACAGTGGTAGTACCAGGTACTAGAGTGGTACTACAGTGGTACTACAGTGGTACTACCAGGTACTAGAGTGGTACTAGAGTGGTACTAGAGTGGTACTACAGTGGTAGTACCAGGTACTAGAGTGGTACTAGAGTGGTACTACAGTGGTCCTACAGTGGTACTACCAGGTACTAGAGTGGTACTAGAGTGGTACTACAGTGGTACTACAGTGGTAGTACCAGGTACTAGAGTGGTGCTAGAGTGGTACTACAGTGGTACTACAGTGGTAGTACCAGGGTCTACAGTGGTACTACAGTGGTACTAGAGTGGTACTAGAGTGGTACTACAGTGGTACTACAGTGGTAGTACCAGGTACTAGAGTGGTGCTAGAGTGGTACTACAGTGGTACTACAGTGGTAGTACCAGGTACTACAGTGGTACTACAGTGGTACTAGAGTGGTACGAGAGTGGTCCTACAGTGGAACTAACATGTCCTACAGTGGTACTAGAGTGGTAGTACAGTGGTACTGCAGGTACTACCAGGTCCTACAGTGGTACTACAGTGGCACTACCAGGTACTAGAGTGGTACTGGTGGTGGTGGTGATGGTGGTGCTGGTGGTGATGGTGGTGGTGGTGATGGTGGTGGTGATGGTGGTGCTGGTGGTGATGCTGATGGTGGTGGTGGTGATGGTGGTGGTGGCCGTGAGCGGGAATCGAACTGGGGTCTCTGGCCGGGTTTGTCGGAGTGCAGCCTGCTAGCGAGATGTTGACTACCTCGCCTGGTGTGCAGGAGGTCGTGGCTTAGACCCTGACACCACAGTGGTTATGAGATGTTGACTACCTCGCCTGGTGTGCAGGAGGTCGTGGCTTAGACCCTGACACCAGAGTGGCTATGAGATGTTGACTACCTCGCCTGGTGTGCAGGAGGTCGTGGGTTAGACCCTGATGAGATGTTGACTACCTCGCCTGGTATACAGAAGGTCGTGGGTTAGACCCTGATGAGATGTTGACTACCTCGCCTGGTCTACAGGAGGTCGTGGCTTAAACCCTAATACCACAGTGGCTAGGGGATGTTGACTACCTCGCCTGGTCTACAGGAGGTCGTGGCTTAGACCCTGACACCACAGTGGCTAGGAGATGTTGACTACCTCGCCTGGTGTGCAGGAGGTCGTGGGTTAGATCCAGGCTCTCACTATGTCTGCTGGTTGTGTATTTGGAGTCTACGTCTCTCTCTCTCTCACTCATCATCAACATCACGGTGGCTATGAGATGTTGACTACCTCGCCTGATGTGCAGGAGGTCGCTGTTGCTGCTGCTGTATATTTGGAGTCTGCGTCTCTCTCTCTCTCACTCATCATCAACATCACGGTGGCTAGCGAGATGTTGACTCCCTCGCCTGGTGTGCAGGAGGTCGCTGCTGCTGCTGCTGTATATTTGGAGTCTGCGTCTCTCTCTCTCACTCATCATCAACATCACGGTGGCTAGCAAGATGTTGACTACGTCGCCTGGTGTGCAGGAGGTCGCTGCTGCTGCTGCTGTAGATTTGGAGTCTGCGTCTCTCTCTCTCACTCATCATCAACATCACGGTGGCTAGGAGATGTTGACTACCTCGCCTGGTCTACAGGAGGTCGTGGCTTAGACCCTGACACCACAGTGGCTAGCGAGATGTTGACTACCTCGCCTGGTCTACAGGAGGTCTTGACTTAGACCCTGATACCACAGTGGCTAGCGAGATGTTGACTACCTCGCCTGGTGTGCAGGAGGTCGTGAGTTCGATCCAGGTCCTCAGTATGTCTGCTGGTTGTGTATTTGGAGTCTACGTCTCTCTCTCTCTCACTCATCATCAACATCACGGTGGCTAGCGAGATGTTGACTCCCTCGCCTGGTGTGCAGGAGGTCGCTGCTGCTGCTGCTGTAGATTTGGAGTCTGCGTCTCTCTCTCTCTCACTCATCATCAACATCACGGTGGCTAGCGAGATGTTGACTACCTCGCCTGGTGTGCAGGAGGTCGTGGCTTAGACCCTGACACCACAGTGGCTAGCGAGATGTTGACTACCTCGCCTGGTGTGCAGGAGGTCGTGGCTTAGACCCTGACACCACAGTGGCTAGCGAGATGTTGACTACCTCGCCTGGTGTGCAGGAGGTCGTGGCTTAGACCCTGACACCACGTTGGCTAGGAGATGTTGACTACCTCGCCTGGTGTGCAGGAGGTCGTGGCTTAGACCCTGACACCACTAGCGAGATGTTGACTACCTCGCCTGGTCTACAGGAGGTCGTGGCTTAGACCCTGACACCACAGTGGCTAGGAGATGTTGACTACCTCGCCTGGTGTGTAGGAGGTCGTGGCTTAGACCCTGACACCACAGTGGCTATGAGATGTTGACTACCTCGCCTGGTCTACAGGAGGTCGTGGCTTAGACCCTGACACCACAGTGGCTAGCGAGATGTTGACTACCTCGCCTGGTGTGCAGGAGGTCGTGGCTTAGACCCTGACACCACTAGCGAGATGTTGACTACCTCGCCTGGTCTACAGGAGGTCGTGGCTTAGACCCTGACACCACAGTGGCTAGGAGATGTTGACTACCTCGCCTGGTCTACAGGAGGTCGCCGCTGCTGCTGCTGCCGCTGCTGTGATTTCCCAAGCGCCGACGATGACGTCAGCCGCTCTGTGAGCTGCTGACGTCATCGTCGTGATGGCGAGGGGAGGGCTTCACAGCCGAGCACGTGGTGCAATAAACACACACACAGAGTTGAATAGTTTAATAAGTGTGTGTGAGTGTGAGTGAGTGTGAGTTTTATATCTGAATCTCCCCGTCTCTCTCCCTAGGGTGAAGACCTCTCCCATCCCCCCATCCCACTCCTCCCTCCCCTCCCTCCTCAACCTGGGATCTCACAGCAGCGATCGTCGTCATCATCATCATCGTCATCATCATCGTCATCATCATCGTCATCATCGTCATCATCATCATCGTCATCATCGTCATCATCGTCGTCATCATCATCGTCATCATCATCGTCATCATCGTCGTCATCATCATCGTCATCATCATCGTCGTCGTCATCATCGTCATCATCATCATCATAATCGTCATCGTCATCATCATCATAATCATCATCATCGTCATCATCATCGTCATCATAATCATCGTCATCATCGTCATCATCGTCGTCATCGTCATCATCATCGTCATCATTGTCATCATCATCGTCATCATAATCATCATCATAATCATCATCATCATAATCGTCATCATCATCGTCATCATAATCATCATCGTCATCGTCATCATCGTCATCATCGTCATCATCATCATGGCTTCCCACTCGCCGTCCTCCTGTGACTGGCCCCGTCCCGGGCGCTTCGTCTTCGTTGTGTCACTGAAGGAGTCCGTGGGGTTCTGTGACGCTCCACGCCACTGCTGTTACAACGAGCGCTTACAACAACAACAACAACAACGTGATGATCAATATCACACAACAACAACAACGTCATGATCAATATAACAACAACGTGATCAATATAACACAAATACATGATGATCAATATCACACAACAACATGATGATCTATATAACACAAATACATTATCAATATCACACAACAACAACAACAACAACGTCATGATCAATATCACACAACAACAACGTCATGATCAATATCACACAACAACAACAACGTCATGATCAATATAACAACAACGTGATCAATATAACACAAATACATGATGATCAATATCACACAACAACATGATGATCTATATAACACAAATACATTATCAATATCACACAACAACAACAACAACAACGTCATGATCAATATCACACAACAACAACGTCATGATCAATATCACACAACAACAACATGATGATCATTATAACACAACAACATGATCAATATAACACAACAACATGATGATCAATATAACACAACAACAACAACGTCATGATCATTATAACACAACAACATGATGATGATCAATATAACACAACAACAACATGATGATCAATATAACACAACATGATCAATATAACACAACAACTACATGATCAATATAACACAACAACATGATCAATATAACACAACAACAACATGATGATCAATATAACACAACAACATGATGATCAATATAACACAACAACTACATGATCAATATAACACAACAACATGATCAATATAACACAACAACAACATGATGATCAATATAACACAACAACATGATGATCAATATAACACAACAACAACATGATCAATATAACACAACAACATGATCAATATAACACAACAACAACGTCATGATCATTATAACACAACAACAACATGATCAATATAACACAACAACAACATGATCAATATAACACAACAACATGATCAATATAACACAACAACATGATCAATATAACACAACAACAACATGATGATCAATATAACACAACAACATGATGATCAATATAACACAACAACAACATGATCAATATAACACAACAACATGATCAATATAACACAACAACATGATCAATATAACACAACAACAACATGATGATCAATATAACACAACAACAACATGATCAATATAACACAACAACATGATCAATATAACACAACAACATGATGATCAATATAACACAACAACATGATCAATATAACACAACAACAACATGATCAATATCACACAACAACAACATTATCAATATAACACAACAACAACATGATGATCAATATAACACAACAACGTGATGATCAATATAACACAACAACAACATGATGATCAATATAACACAACAACATCATGATGATCAATATAACACAACAACATGATCAATATAACACAACAACATGATGATCAATATAACACAACAACAACATGATCAATATAACACAACAACAACATGATGATCAATATAACACAACAACAACATGATCAATATAACACAACATTATCAATATAACACAACAACAACATGATGATCAATATAACACAACAACAACATGATCAATATAACACAACAACATGATCAATATAACACAACAACAACATGATGATCAATATAACACAACAACATGATGATCAATATAACACAACAACATGATCAATATAACACAACAACATGATGATCAATATAACACAACAACAACATGATGATCAATATAACACAACAACAACATGATCAATATAACAACAACATGATCAATATAACACAACAACATGATCAATATAACACAACAACAACAACATGATCAATATCACACAACAACAACATGATGATCAATATAACACAACAACAACAAGATGATCAATATAACACAACAACAACATGATGATCAATATAACACAACAACAACATGATGATCAATATAACACAACAACATGATGATCAATATAACACAACATTATCAATATAACAACAACAACGTGATGATCTATATAACAACAACGTGATCAATATAACACAACAACATGAATATAACACAACAACAACAACATTATGATCTATATAACACAACAACAACAACATTATGATCTATATAACACAACAACAACATGATGATCAACATAACACAACAACATGAATGTAACACAACAACAACATGATGATCAATATAACACAACATGATGATCAATATCACACAACAACAACATGATGATCAATATAACACAACAACAACATGATGATCAATATAACACAACATGAATGTAACACAACAACATGAATGTAACACAACAACAACATGAATGTAACACAACAACAACATGAATGTAACACAACAACAACATGAATGTAACACAACAACAACAACAACATGAATGTAACACAACAACAACATGAATGTAACACAACAACAACAACATGAATGTAACACAACAACAACAACATGGATGTAACACAACAACAACATGGATGTAACACAACAACAACATGAATGTAACACAACAACAACAACATGAATGTAACACAACAACAACAACATGAATGTAACACAACAACAACAACATGGATGTAACACAACAACAACATGAATGTAACACAACAACAACATGAATGTAACACAACAACAACAACATGAATGTAACACAACAACACGATTAATAAACAACATAAAACGATAACATTGCCCGTTGTTGTTGTTGTGATTCATGATTAAACTTCCCCTGCCCCTTTCATCCACCGCGGTGACGTCTCATCACCTACAGGAGAGTGATAAGCCGTGTGGTGGTACAGGAAAGTGATCAGCTGTGCGGTGGTACAGGACAGTGATCAGCTGTGTGGTGGTACAGGAGAGTGATCAGCTGTCTGGTGGTACAGGAGAGTGATCAGCTGTCTGGTGGTACAGGAGAGTGATCAGCTGTGTGGTGGTACAGGAGAGTGATCAGCTGTGTGGTGATACAGGAGAGTGATCAGCTGTGTGGTGATACAGGAGAGTGATCAGCTGTGCAGTGATACAGGAGAGTGATCAGCTGTGCAGTGATACAGGAGAGTGATCAGCTGTGTGGTGGTACAGGAGAGTGATCAGCTGTCTGGTGGTACAGGAGAGTGATCAGCTGTCTGGTGGTACAGGAGAGTGATCAGCTGTCTGGTGGTACAGGAGAGTGATCAGCTGTCTGGTGGTACAGGAGAGTGATCAGCCGTGCAGTGATACAGGAGATTGATCAGCTGTGTGGTGATACAGGAGAGTGATCAGCTGTCTGGTGGTACAGGAGAGTGATCAGCTGTCTGGTGGTACAGGAGAGTGATCAGCTGTGTGGTGATACAGGAGATTGATCAGCTGTGTGGTGATACAGGAGATTGATCAGCTGTCTGGTGGTACAGGATAGTGATCAGCCATGCAGTGATACAGGAGATTGATCAGCCATGCAGTGATACAGGAGAGTGATCAGTTTGCTTGTTTCACTCTCCACGTGGCGAGGATTGGGAAGACCCTTGCCACGAATCAACCAAACAACCATCACCGACACTCCACTCATCCTCACAGCAGCAGGAGAAACAGCAGCGGCTTCTGGGTGGCTGTTGAACAAAGACAGTCACCACATCACTTAGCTGCTTTCAGATACTAGATCCACTACTATACACTACACTATACACTACTACACTACCCTATACACTTCACTATACACTACACTATACACTACTACACACTACACTACTATACACTACACTAAACACTACACTATCCACTACTATACACTACACTATACTACTACACTCTACACTACACTACTATACACTACTACACTCTACACTACACTATACACTACTCTATACACAACACTATACACTACACTATGCACTACACTATACACTACACTGTGCACTACACTACTGTATACTACGCTATACACTACACTATACACTACACTATACACTACACTATGCACTACACTACTATATACTACGCTATACACAATACTATACACTACACTATACACTACACTATACACTACACTATACACTACACTATGCACTACACTACTATATACTACGCTATACACTATACTATACACTACACTATGCACTACACTAATATACACTACACTACTATACACTATACAGTACACTATACACTACACACTACAATACTATACACTTCACTATACACTACTAACACTACTGTAGACTACACATTACACTACTATACACTACACTATACACTACACTATACATTACTATACACTGCACTACACTATACAATACACTACTATACACTACACTACTATACACTACACTATACACTATTATACACTACACTATACACTATACATTACACTACTATAAACTACACTATACACTACACGATACACTACTATACACTACACTATACACTACTATACACTACACTATACACTACTACATACCACACTATATAGCGCACTACTATACACTACACTATACACTACACTATACACTACTATACACTACACTATACACTACACTACTATACACTATACACTTCACTGTACACTATACACTACTATACACTACACTATACATTACCCTACAATAGACTACACTACTATACATTACACTACCATACACTACATTAATATACTACTACTACACTATACACTACACTATTATACACTGCACTACACACTACACTATACATTACACTACTATACACTACACTATGCACTACACTACACTATACACTACTATATCACGCTGTACAATACACATTACACTACTATACACTACACTATATATAACTATACACTACAATATACTACACTACCATACACTGCACTACACTATACACTACTATACACTACACTACTATACTACTACACTATACACTACACTATAGACAACCAGAATACATTACACTATACATTACACGACCACACACTTCATTAATATACTACTACACTATACACTACACTATACATTACACTACTATACACTACACTACTATACACTACACTATACACTACACTACTATACACTACACTACTATACTACTACACTATACACTACACTACACACAACCACAATACATTACACTATACATTACACGACCACACACTACATTAATATACTACTACACTATACACTACACTATACATTACACTACTATACACTACACTACTATACGCTACACTACACTATACACTACACTACTATACACTACACTACTATACACTACACTATACCCTACACTACTATACACTACACTACTATACGCTACACTACTATACACTACACTATACACTACACTACTATACGCTAGACTACTATACACTACACTATACACTACACATTACACTACTATACGCTACACTACTATACATTACTACTACTATACACTACACTATACATTACACTACACTACTATACACTACACTACTATACATTACACTACCATACACTACATTAATATACTACTACCACACTATACACTAAACTACTATACACTACACTATACATTACACTACTATACACTACACTACTATACATTACTACTACTATACACAACACTACTATTCATCACACTACTATACACTACACTACTATACACTACACTACTATACACTACACATTACACTACTATACGCTACACTACTATACATTACTACTACTATACACTACACATTACACTACTATACGCTACACTACTATACATTACTACTACTATACACTACACTATACATTACACTACTATACACTACACTACTATACATTACACTACCATACACTACATTAATATACTACTACCACACTATACACTAAACTACTATACACTACACTATACACTACAATATACATTACACTACTATACGCTACACTACTATACATTACTACTACTATACACAACACTACTATTCATCACACTACTATACACTACACTACTATACACTGCCCATAGACTAACACTCCCGTGTCTCTCTCCCCGTGTCTCTGTGTCTCTCTCCCCGTGTCTCTCTCCCCGTGTCTCTCTCCCCGTGTCTCTCTCCCCGTGTGTCTCTCCCCGTGTCTCTCTCACCGTGTCTCTGTGTGTCTCTCCCCGTGTCTCTCTCCCCCTGTATCTCTCTGTGTCTCTCTCCCCGTGTCTCTGTGTCTCTCTCCCCGTGTCTCTGTGTCGCTCTCCCCGTGTCTCTGTGTCTCTCTCCCCGTATCTCGGTGTCTCTCTCCCCGTGTCTCTCTCCCCGTGTCTCTGTGTCTCTCCTCGTGTCTCTCTCCCAGTGTCTCTGTGTCTCTCTCCACGTGTCTCTGTGTCTCTCTCCCCGTGTCTCTGTGTCTCTCTCCACGTGTCTCTCTCCCAGTGTCTCTGTGTCTCTCTCCACGTGTCTCTCTCCACGTGTCTCTGTGTCTCTCTCCACGTGTCTCTGTGTCTCTCTCCACGTGTTTCTTCCCGTGTCTCTCTCCACGTGTCTCTGTGTCTCTCTCCCCGTGTCTCTCTCCCCGTGTCTCTGTCTCTGTGTGTCTCTCCCCGAGTCTCTATGTGTCTCTCCCCGTGTCTTTGTGTCTCTCTCCCCGTGTCTCCGTGTCTCTCTCCCCGTGTCTCTGTGTCTCTCTCCCCGTGTCTCTCTCCCCGTGTCTCTGTGTCTCTCTCCCCGTGTCTCTGTGTCTCTCCCCGTGTCTCTCTCCCCGTGTTTCTGTGTCTCTCTCCCCGTGTATCTCTCCCCGTGTCTCTGTGTCTCTCTCCCCGTGTCTCTGTGTCTCTTTCCCCGTGTCTCTGTCTCTCTCTCCCCGTGTCTCTGTCTCTCTCTCCCCGTGTCTCTGTGTCTCTCTCTCCCCGTGTCTCTCTCCCCGTGTCTCTGTGTCTCTCTCCCCGTGTCTCTGTGTCTCTCTCCCCGTGTCTCTCTCCCCGTGTCTCCGTGTCTCTCTCCCCGTGTCTCTGTGTCCCTCTCCCCGTGTCTCTGTGTCTCTCTCCCCGTATCTCGGTGTCTCTCTCCCCGTGTCTCTCTCCCCGTGTCTCTGTGTCTCTCCTCGTGTCTCTCTCCCAGTGTCTCTGTGTCTCTCTCCACGTGTCTCTCTCCCAGTGTCTCTGTGTCTCTCTCCACGTGTCTCTCTCCACGTGTCTCTGTGTCTCTCTCCACGTGTCTCTGTGTCTCTCTCCACGTGTTTCTTCCCGTGTCTCTCTCCACGTGTCTCTGTGTCTCTCTCCCCGTGTCTCTCTCCCCGTGTCTCTGTCTCTGTGTGTCTCTCCCCGAGTCTCTATGTGTCTCTCCCCGTGTCTTTGTGTCTCTCTCCCCGTGTCTCCGTGTCTCTCTCCCCGTGTCTCTGTGTCTCTCTCCCCGTGTCTCTCTCCCCGTGTCTCTCTCCCCGTGTCTCTGTGTCTCTCCCCGTGTCTCTCTCCCCGTGTTTCTGTGTCTCTCTCCCCGTGTATCTCTCCCCGTGTCTCTGTGTCTCTCTCCCCGTGTCTCTGTGTCTCTTTCCCCGTGTCTCTGTCTCTCTCTCCCCGTGTCTCTGTGTCTCTCTCTCCCCGTGTCTCTCTCCCCGTGTCTCTGTGTCTCTCTCCCCGTGTCTCTGTGTCTCTCTCCCCGTGTCTCTGTGTCTCTCTCCCCGTGTCTCCGTGTCTCTCTCCCCGTGTCTCTGTGTCTCTCTCCCAGTGTCTCTGTGTCTCTCTCCCCGTGTCTCTCTCCCCGTGTCTCTGTGTCTCTCTCCCCGTGTCTCTCTTCCCGTGTCTCTGTGTCTCTCTCCCCGTGTCTCTGTGTCTCTCTCCCCGTGTCTCTGTGTCTCTCTCCCCGTGTCTCTCTCCCCGTGTCTCTCTCCCCGTGTGTCTCTCCCCGTGTCTCTGTGTCTCTCTCCCCGTGTCTCTGTGTCTCTCTCCCCGTGTCTCTGTGTCTCTCTCCCCGTGTCTCTGTGTCTCTCTCCCCGTGTCTCTGTGTCTCTCTCCCCGTGTCTCTGTGTCTCTCTCCCCGTGTCTCTGTGTCTCTCTCCCCGTGTCTCTGTCTCTCTCCCCGTGTCTCTGTGTCTCTCTCCCCGTGTCTCTGTGTCTCTCTCCCCGTGTCTCTGTGTCTCTCTCCCCGTGTCTCTGTGTCTCTCTCCCCGTGTCTCTGTGTGTCTCTCCCCGTGTCTCTGTGTGTCTCTCCCCGTGTCTCTGTGTGTCTCTCCCCGTGTCTCTGTCTCTCTCCCCGTGTCTCTGTGTGTCTCTCCCCGTGTCTCTGTGTGTCTCTCCCCGTGTCTCTGTGTGTCTCTCCCCGTGTCTCTGTGTGTCTCTCCCCGTGTCTCTGTGTCTCTCTCCCCGTGTCTCTGTGTCTCTCTCCCCGTGTCTCTGTGTCTCTCTCCCCGTGTCTCTGTGTCTCTCTCCCCGTGTCTCTCCCCGTGTCTCTCTCACCGCCCTGAACCAATCACCAGCGGGCGGAACTAAATTCCTCCGGAACCTAAAAAATCGCTCCGACGTTGCAGCTGCGCCGCGTTTCCTGCGGACTCGGACCCTTGACTCTGGGACAAGATGGCGGCCCGCTGTGAGTAGTGACCCCGCGACTTTAACTCAGGGAACGACTCAGGGAGAGACTCAGAGAACGACTCAGAGACTCACGGAGAGACTCAGGGAGAGACTCAGGGAGAGACTCAGGGAGAGACTCAGGGAACGACTCAGAGACTCACGGAGAGACTCAGGGAACGACTCAGGGAACGACTCAGGGAACGACTCAGGGAGAGACTCAGGGAGAGACTCAGAGAACGACTCAGGGAACGACTCAGAGACTCAGGGAGAGACTCAGGGAGAGACTCAGGGAGAGACTCAGGGAACGACTCAGAGACTCAGGGAGAGACTCAGGGAGAGACTCAGAGAGAGACTCAGGGAGAGACTCAGAGAACGACTCAGAGACTCACGGAGAGATTCAGGGAGAGACTCAGGGAGAGACTCAGGGAACGACTCAGAGACTCACGGAGAGACTCAGGGAACGACTCAGGGAACGACTCAGGGAGAGACTCAGGGAGAGACTCAGAGAACGACTCAGGGAACGACTCAGAGACTCAGGGAGAGACTCAGGGAGAGACTCAGAGACTCAGGGAGAGACTCAGGGAGAGACTCAGAGAGAGACTCAGAGAGAGACTCAGGGAACGACTCAGGGAACGACTCAGGGAACGACTCAGGGAGAGACTCAGGGAGAGACTCAGAGAACGACTCAGGGAACGACTCAGGGAACGACTCAGGGAACGACTCAGAGACTCAGGGAGAGACTCAGAGAGAGACTCAGAGAGAGACTCAGGGAACGACTCAGGGAACGACTCAGGGAACGACTCAGGGAGAGACTCAGGGAGAGACTCAGAGAACGACTCAGGGAACGACTCAGGGAGAGACTCAGGGAGAGACTCAGAGAGAGACTCAGGGAACGACTCAGGGAACGACTCAGGGAACGACTCAGGGAACGACTCAGGGAGAGACTCAGGGAGAGACTCAGAGAACGACTCAGGGAACGACTCAGGGAACGACTCAGAGACTCAGGGAGAGACTCAGAGAGAGACTCAGAGAGAGACTCAGGGAACGACTCAGGGAACGACTCAGGGAACGACTCAGGGAACGACTCAGGGGGAGACTCAGGGAGAGACTCAGAGAACGACTCAGGGAACGACTCAGGGAACGACTCAGGGAGAGACTCAGGGAGAGACTCAGAGAACGACTCAGGGAACGACTCAGGGAGAGACTCAGGGAACGACTCAGAGACTCAGAGAGAGACTCAGAGAGAGACTCAGGGAACGACTCAGGGAACGACTCAGAGACTCAGGGAGAGACTCAGGGAGAGACTCAGAGAGAGACTCAGAGAGAGACTCAGGGAACGACTCAGGGAACGACTCAGGGAGAGACTCAGGGAGAGACTCAGAGAACGACTCAGGGAACGACTCAGGGAGAGACTCAGGGAGAGACTCAGGGAACGACTCAGAGACTCACGGATAGACTCGGGGAACGACTCGGAACGACTCAGGGAACGACTCCGAGAGAGACTCACGGAGAGACTCAGGGAACGACTTAGGGAACGACTCAGGGAACGACTCCGAGAGAGACTCACGGAACGACTCAGGGAACGACTCAGGGAACGACTCAGAGAACGACTCAGAGTCTCACGGAGAGACTCAGAGAGACTCAGGGAACGACTCAGGGAACGACTCAGGGAACGACTCAGAGAACGACTCAGAACGACTCAGAACGACTCAGAGAGACTCAGAACGATTGAGGGAACGACTCAGAGAGAGACTCAGAACGATTCAGGGAACGACTCAGAGAGAGACTCAGAGAACGATTCAGAGAGAGACTCAGAGAACGACTCAGGGAACGACTCAGAGAGAGACTCAGAGAACGATTCAGAGAGAGACTCAGAGAACGACTCAGGGAACGACTCAGAGAGAGACTCAGAGAACGATTCAGAGAGAGACTCAGAGAACGACTCAGGGAACGACTCAGAGAGAGACTCAGAGAACGATTCAGGGAACGACTCAGAGAGAGAGACTCAGAGAACGACTCAGACAGAGACTCAGAGAACGATTCAGAGAGAGACTCAGAACGACTCAGGGAACGACTAAGGGAACGACTCAGAGAGAGACTCAGAGAACGACTCAGGTAACGACTCAGAGAGAGACTCAGAGAACGACTCAGGGAACGACTTAGAGAGAGACTCAGAGAACGACTCAGGGAACGACTCAGAGAGAGACTCAGAACGATTCAGAGACTCACGGAGAGACTCAGGGAACGACTCAGGGAGAGACTCAGATAACGACTCAGAGAGAGACTCAGAGAACGACTCAGGGAACGACTCAGAGAGAGACTCAGAGAACGACTCAGAAAACGACTCAGGGAACGACTCAGAGAGAGAGAGAGAGAGACTGAGGGAACGAATCTGAGGACAACACGACCACACCACAGAGAACTCAGAACCACATGGCCACGATAGTTACCTAATCACGCAGTCACACAAACACCAGTCGCACAGAGATCACAGTCACACAGAGATCACAGTCACACAGAGATCACAGTCACACAGAGATCACAGTCACACAGAGATCACAGTCACACAGAGACCACAGTCAGTCACACAGTCACACAGAGACCACAGTCAATCACACAGTCACACAGAGACCACAGTCACACAGAGACCACAGTCAGTCACACAGTCACACAGAGACCACAGTCAGTCACACAGAGTGACCACAGTCAGTCACACAGAGACCACAGTCACACAGAGATCACAGTCACACAGTCACACAGAGATCACAGTCACACAGAGATCACAGTCAGTCACACAGAGTGACCACAGTCAGTCACACAGAGACCACAGTCACACAGAGATCACAGTCACACAGTCACACAGAGATCACAGTCAATCACACTGTCACACAGTCAGTCACACAGAGACCACAATCAGTCACACAGTCACACAGAGACCACAGTCACACAGAGACCACAGTCAGTCACATAGTCAGTCACACAGTCAGTCACACAGTCAGTCACACAGAGACCACAGTCACACAGTCAGTCACACAGTCACACAGTCGCACAGTCACACAGTCAGTCACACAGTCACACAGTCAGTCACACAGAGACCACAGTCACACAGAGACCACAGTCAGTCACACAGAGACCACAGTCAGTCACACAGTCACACAGAGATCACAGTCAATCACACAGTCACACAGTCAGTCACACAGAGACCACAGTCAGTGACACAGTCACACAGAGACCACAGTCACACAGTCACACAGCGACCACAGTCAGTGACACAGTCACACAGAGACCACAGTCAGTGACACAGTCACACAGAGACCACAGTCACACAGTCACACGGAGACCACAGTCACACAGAGACCACAGTCACACAGAGATCACAGTCAGTCACGCAGTCACACAGAGACCACAGTCAGTCACACAGTCACACAGAGACCACAGTCACACAGAGACCACAGTCACACAGAGATCACAGTCAGTCACACAGTCACACAGAGACCACAGTCACACAGAGATCACAATCACACAGAGACCACAGTCAGACACACAGTCACACAGTCACACAGTCAGTCACACAGTCACACAGAGACCACAGTCACACAGAGATCACAGTCAGTCACACAGTCACACAGTGACCACAGTCAGTCACACAGTCACACAGAGACCACAGTCAGTCACACAGTCACACAGAGACCACAGTCACACAGAGACTACAGTCACACAGAGATCACAGTCACACAGAGACCACAGTCAGTCACACAGTCACACAGAGATCACAGTCAGTCACACAGTCACACAGAGACCACAGTCAGTCACACAGTCACACAGAGACCACAGTCACACAGTCAGTCACACAGTCACACAGAGACCACAGTCACACAGAGACCACAGTCACACAGAGATCACAGTCACACAGTCACACAGAGATCACAGTCAATCACACTGTCACACAGTCAGTCACACAGAGACCACAATCAGTCACACAGTCACACAGAGACCACAGTCACACAGAGACCACAGTCAGTCACATAGTCAGTCACACAGTCACACAGTCAGTCACACAGTCACACAGTCAGTCACACAGAGACCACAGTCACACAGTCAGTCACACAGTCACACAGTCGCACAGTCACACAGTCAGTCACACAGTCACACAGTCAGTCACACAGAGACCACAGTCACACAGAGACCACAGTCAGTCACACAGTCACACAGAGACCACAGTCAGTCACACAGTCACACAGAGATCACAGTCAATCACACAGTCACACAGTCAGTCACACAGAGACCACAGTCAGTGACACAGTCACACAGAGACCACAGTCACACAGTCACACAGCGACCACAGTCAGTGACACAGTCACACAGAGACCACAGTCAGTGACACAGTCACACAGAGACCACAGTCACACAGTCACACGGAGACCACAGTCACACAGAGACCACAGTCACACAGAGATCACAGTCAGTCACGCAGTCACACAGAGACCACAGTCAGTCACACAGTCACACAGAGACCACAGTCACACAGAGACCACAGTCACACAGAGATCACAGTCAGTCACACAGTCACACAGAGACCACAGTCACACAGAGATCACAATCACACAGAGACCACAGTCAGACACACAGTCACACAGTCAGTCACACAGTCACACAGAGACCACAGTCACACAGAGATCACAGTCAGTCACACAGTCACACAGTGACCACAGTCAGTCACACAGTCACACAGAGACCACAGTCAGTCACACAGTCACACAGAGACCACAGTCACACAGAGACTACAGTCACACAGAGATCACAGTCACACAGAGACCACAGTCAGTCACACAGTCACACAGAGATCACAGTCAGTCACACAGTCACACAGAGACCACAGTCAGTCACACAGTCACACAGAGACCACAGTCACACAGTCAGTCACACAGTCACACAGAGACCACAGTCACACAGAGACCACAGTCACACAGAGATCACAGTCACACAGAGACCACAGTCACACAGAGATCACAGTCACACAGAGATCACAGTCAGTCACACAGTCACACAGAGACCACAGTCACACAGAGACCACAGTCAGTCACACAGTCACATAGTCAGTCACACAGTTACACAGAGACCACAGTCACACAGAGACCACAGTCACACAGTCACACAGAGACCACAGTCACACAGAGACCACAGTCACACAGTCACACAGAGACCACAGTCACACAGTCACACAGAGACCACAGTCAGTCACACAGTCACACGGTCACACAGTCACACAGAGACCACAGTCACACAGTCACACAGATACCACAGTCAGTCACACAGTCACACAGTCAGTCACACAGTCACACAGTCACACAGAGACCACAGTCAGTCACACAGAGACCACAGTCACACAGAGACCACAGTCACACAGAGACCACAGTCAGTCACATAGTCAGTCACACAGTCAGTCACACAGTCACACAGTCAGTCACACAGTCACACAGTCAGTCACACAGTCACACAGAGACCACAGTCACACAGTCAGTCACACAGTCACACAGTCGCACAGTCATACAGTCAGTCACACAGTCACACAGTTAGTCACACAGAGACCACAGTCACACAGTCACACAGAGACCACAGTCACACAGAGACCACAGTCAGTCACACAGTCACATAGTCAGTCACACAGTTACACAGAGACCACAGTCACACAGAGACCACAGTCACACAGTCACACAGAGACCACAGTCACACAGAGACCACAGTCACACAGTCACACAGAGACCACAGTCAGTCACACAGTCACACGGTCACACAGTCACACAGTCACACAGAGACCACAGTCAGTCACACAGTCACACGGTCACACAGTCACACAGAGACCACAGTCACACAGTCACACAGATACCACAGTCAGTCACACAGTCACACAGTCAGTCACACAGTCACACAGTCACACAGAGACCACAGTCAGTCACACAGAGACCACAGTCACACAGAGACCACAGTCACACAGAGACCACAGTCAGTCACATAGTCAGTCACACAGTCAGTCACACAGTCACACAGTCAGTCACACAGTCACACAGTCAGTCACACAGTCACACAGAGACCACAGTCACACAGTCAGTCACACAGTCACACAGTCGCACAGTCATACAGTCAGTCACACAGTCACACAGTTAGTCACACAGAGACCACAGTCACACAGTCACACAGTCACACAGAGACCACAGTCAGTCACACAGTCACACAGAGACCACAGTCAGTCACACAGAGACCACAGTCACACAGTCACACAGTCAGTCACACAGTCACACAGAGACCACAGTCACACAGAGATCACAGTCACACAGTCACACAGGACCACAGTCACACAGTCACACACTCAGTCACACAGGCACACAGTCAGTCACACAGTCACACAGAGACCACAGTCACACAGAGACCACAGTCACACAGAGACCACAGTCAGTCACATAGTCAGTCACACAGTCACACAGAGACCACAGTCACACAGTCACACAGTCAGTCACACAGTCACACAGTCAGTCACACAGTCACACAGAGACCACAGTCACACAGTCAGTCACACAGTCACACAGTCACACCCTAGCCACATCGTTAGCTCGGATGCCGACTCCACGGCTTCGTCTGCGTCCCTCATCCCAGTCGCCTTCATCGCCTCCCTCAGCTCTGCATCACCTCATCTCCCCGGCTCCCTGTCTCTCTCCGTCTCTCCTCTCCCCATCCTCGTCTCCCCCTGTGTCCCGCCACCTGTCCCTCCCCCATAATCCCCGTGTCTCTGTCTCCGCGTGCTCCTCCCGTGCGTCTGTGTCTCCCCTCCAGTGCTCCGTGCCGTCCGTGCTGCTTCTGCCGCCTCCACCGCCTCCGCCGCCACCGCCGCCGCCCCCTCGTCTCTGTGGTGAGAGGCGCTGCTGTCCGGCCACTCGGCGGCGGTGAACGTCGGGGCCGGTGGGGACGGTGGTAGGGGGGTGGTAGGGGCAAGGGGGTGGGCGTGGATGCCGATGCGTACACACGTGCGTACGTGTGTACGTGTGTGTCCGGAAAAAAAACAACAACAACATCAACAACATCAACATCATGCCTCCTCGGTGGTTGCCGGACGTTAGCGCCGCGTGGTGGTTAGCGAGCAACGCCGTGGAGGGAAGGCTTTCACCTCATGGCGCTTGCAGCCACCACGGCGGCGGCCATTGGGGCGGGCCTCTGGACACGCGTTTTAGTACCACCAAAAGCACGTGTTGAAGTTCCAACTAAGCTTGTGCCGGAGGCCCCGGGGGGTGGGACACAGGCGTCCGTGACGTCTCCTGGCCACACCCCGTTTGGCAGAGCCGGGAGACTGAATCCTTACCCACGGGGTTCCTCCAGAAATAGCAAAAAAAAGTCACTGCGGGTGGCCACGTGGAATGTTCGAACGCTCGCTGTGGATGAGAGGTTCCTCTGTCGGCAGCTGGACCGGTACCGCCTGGATCTCTGCATTATTCAGGAGGTCCGGTGGACCGTCTCTGGCTCCAGTCACCACGAGGGGTGGGCAGTCCTCGACTCGAGGCAGAAGACTGACAAACAACAGGGAGTGGCTCTTCTTTCTGAACAAAAGAACGGAGGGAGCGTGGCGGTGAGGTGTGGGAAGCTGTAAGCCCCAGGCTACTGTGGGCTCGCCTTCCCGTCAATCAGAGGCGCGGTGAGGTGAGGTGGTGGTGGTGGTGGTTACTTATACCCTCACCAAAGATGAACATCTTTTGAGGGATGCAGGCAAGGCCGATGATTCAGATGCCTTCTATGACCTGTCACAGGTGCTAGCAAAAGTGGCCCCTCGGGTTAGAGACATCTTGTTGGGTGACTTTAATGCCGGAATGGGTCATGATGCCTGCACCTGGTCTGGAGTGATTGGAAGGAATGGACCAGATCAGCTCAATAACAACGGTAGGAGGCTGCTTAACTTCTGTTCACTCCATGGGCTTGTAATTACCAACACGCTGTTGTGGCATCTCCACATCCACACAACATCATGGATGCACGCCGGGTCCAAGCAAGAACATCTGGTGGACTACATAGTGATGGAACACCAGGACCTACCGTGGAACTGATCTGCCCACTGACCATCGGCTTGTCGTCTGTAAGATGTGCCTGCCATTCTTCCACTCCGGTGGTGATTGTACACCCAGGACCCCATTCAAACCCACAGCGGCCTGGTCTCAGCTAGCTGAAGAAGCTCTCTCTGGACCAATCAGTTTCAAAGACAATGCATATATTTATCAGAGTATGTTTTTTTGTTTGCATTCTGACATGATTCCTTGTTAAAGGTTTCAGTTTGGTGTTTTAACATCTGAACACAGCTGTTTTGTTGCCAGAAAAAAAAGGGGAAAGCCTATTCTCGTAGTTTGGTACTGGCAAGGGAGGTCCCATGATGATTGGAAGAAGTCGTCACCAACTGTGAGTGGCTCGCTGAATTACCATCTGGTGGGGAAGTACAAAAGGCGATCCAGAGCCTGGGACCAGAGATGACCTCCCAAGCGAAATGCTGACGGAGGGTGGCGTTTGTGCGCAGACTGCCCCATATGACAAAACAATAACAGACTGCACCACTGGACGGGTTCCGCAGGGTTGGAATGATGCCCTGGTGGTCCCCCTCTTTAAGAAGGGGGACCGCACAGACTGTAACAGCTACAGGGGCATCTCACTCCTCAGTGTGCCGGGAAAGGTCCTGGCAAGGATTATTCAACATCGCCTCACCAGGCACGCTGAGGAGAGGCTTGCGGAGCCCCAATGCGGTTTCAGGAAAGGGCGGCCCTGCACAGACGCCATATTCTCTGTCCGTCTGGTACAGCAGAGGTGTAGGGAATTCCAACAGGACCTACATCTCTGCTTTATTGACCTGGTCAAGGCCTATGATACCATCAGTAGGCCTGGGCTCTGGGTTGTTCTTCGTGCTTTTGGAGTCCCCTACTCTCTGCTCACAATCAGTAAGGACCCTCATGATGGTGGGCGGAAGTTGGTAAAACTACGTGGCGATTCCCTGTTCGCCTTGGTGTGCGAGAGGGATGCCCTCTGGCTCCCACATTGTGTAACCTTTTTTTTTCTGCCACGTAGTTCTATGGCCGTCCCGGAGGAATCTCCACCTGGTACAGATACAACGGGAGGCTGATCGGTGCCCGGTTGCGGTCAAGGGATGGCTCCGTGTTGGTCAATCGTGTTAAGTATGCCGATGATCTGGCGACCGCCGCTCACTTCGAAAAGGAATTGCAGGCGCTGCTGCTGAACCTGGAGCATCCCATTAAGAGGTGGGGCCTTACTATCAGACCCACCAAAACTAAGCACCTGCCCGAGTATGTTGTGCCATGGAGCAGTTGTGGAGAGATTGGAGCATTTCCCATACCTGGGCAGTGTGCTTATGACCAGCTCCGGTTTGACAGCAGAGGTCTCACTCTGAATCAGTTGGACGGAATTATCTTTTCATCGGCTGCACAACGCTGTCTGGAAGCTACCTGGTCTGTCGCTCCGCACTAAGCTTCAGGTCTTCTCGGGCCACGGTCATTCCCTCCCTTCTCTACGCTTGCGAAGCGTGGACCCAACCTAGTGGAACATCTTCACTAGTTATAAACATTTGGGCTTTCATGCCTACAATCCATCCTGGGTTTAACCATGCTGGATTGTGTGAGTAGCTCACAAATTCTTTAAAAATCTGGACAAAGTCCCATCGGTGAGCTCCTCCGGTGGGCAAGGCTGCGATGGCTGGGTCATGTAGCCCGCATGCCCAGCCACCGCATGCCGAAACAGCTTTTGTTCTGCCAGATAGAGGGAGCCAAATGGGCGCGACACAGGCTAGAGAGGAGATGGAGTGATGTGGTACAGGAGGACGTGGAGCTGAGTGGACTTGCCGATGACCGGTACCAGCGGTGTCAAGATCGGCGTCTGTGGAGGAGGCTCGTGAAGGACGCCGCTACTGGGCAGTTGGAGGCAGTCGCCCTCCAACAACAGCGGAGGGCGGAGGAGCGACGCTCACAACAACGAGCGGAGCGGCGGGTGGCTAAAGCACAGCAGGTTGGCACAGTAGGGGGCACAGGTGGTGCATCAGCCAGTCATCTCAGTCAGTCGACCCGTGGCACCTGCTGGGTCTGCCCCGTGACCTCCTGCCAGCGGGCGTTCGACACTTCACGTGGCCTCAACGTGCACATAGCCTGGCACAAGCGTCGTGGTGACGTCACCGCCACCTAAGCTCGAAATGGTGGTTGTTGCGTGTGTGTCCGTGTGTCCGTGCGTGCGTGTACGCTGACGCGTACGCGCTTGTACACGCCGGCCTTCACAGTCGCTACTCGCTAACGGCACTTGCCCCAACAGTCTGTTGTAAGGGCTGCACGGGGGACCTTTATCTTTGTGCGCGTGCAGGCATGCGGCGGGCGTGCGTGGGGCTGGGTCGCTGGCGTCACTGCCCCCGGCCACCGTCCCCTCGAGCCGCGGGGAGTTTGTGGTGACTAAGCTGGACGACCTCGTTAACTGGGCCCGCAGGGTGGGCCACTCAACAACTCGCTACTATACACTATACACTACACTATACACTACACTATACACTACACTATACACTACTACACACTAGTATAGTAGTGTGGTGACTAAGCTGGACGACCTCGTTAACTGGGCCCGCAGGGTGGGCCACTCAACAACTCGCTACTACACTATACACTACACTATACACTACTACACACTAGTATAGTAGTGTAGTGTGGTGACTAAGCTGGACGACCTCGTTAACTGGGCCCGCAGGGTGGGCCACTCAACAACTCGCTACTATACACTACACTATACACTACTACACACTAGTATAGTAGTGTGGTGACTAAGCTGGACGACCTCGTTAACTGGGCCCGCAGGGTGGGCCACTCAACAACTCGCTACTATACACTACACTACACTATACACTACACTATACACTACTACACACTAGTATAGTAGTGTAGTGTGGTGACTAAGCTGGACGACCTCGTTAACTGGGCCCGCAGGGTGGGCCACTCAACAACTCGCTACTACACTACACTATACACTACACTATACACTACACTATACACTACTACACACTAGTAGTGTAGTGTGGTGACTAAGCTGGACGACCTCGTTAACTGGGCCCGCAGGGTGGGCCACTCAACAACTCGCTACTATACACTATACACTACACTATACACTACACTATACACTACTACACACTAGTATAGTAGTGTGGTGACTAAGCTGGACGACCTCGTTAACTGGGCCCGCAGGGTGGGCCACTCAACAACTCGCTACTATACACTATACACTACACTATACACTACACTATACACTACTACACACTAGTATAGTAGTGTGGTGACTAAGCTGGACGACCTCGTTAACTGGGCCCGCAGGGTGGGCCACTCAACAACTCGCTACTACACTATACACTATACACTACACTATACACTACACTATACACTACACTATACACTACTACACACTAGTATAGTAGTGTAGTGTGGTGACTAAGCTGGACGACCTCGTTAACTGGGCCCGCAGGGTGGGCCACTCAACAACTCGCTACTACACTACACTATACACTACACTACACTATACACTACTACACACTACTATACACTACACTATACACTACACTATACACTACACTATACACTACACTACTATACACTACACTATACACTACACTATACACTACACTATACACTACTACACACTAGTATAGTAGTGTGGTGACTAAGCTGGACGACCTCGTTAACTGGGCCCGCAGGGTGGGCCACTCAACAACTCGCTACTACACTATACACTATACACTACACTATACACTACACTATACACTACACTACTATACACTACACTATACACTACACTATACACTACACTACTACACACTAGTATAGTAGTGTAGTGTGGTGACTAAGCTGGATGACCTCGTTAACTGGGCCCGCAGGGTGGGCCACTCAACAACTCGCTACTACACTATACACTACACTATACACTACACTATACACTATACTATACACTACACTGTACTACTATACACTACACTGTACTACTACACACTACACTATACACTACACTACTATACTACTCTATACACTACACTACTATACACTACACTATACACTACACTATACACTACTACACACTAGTATAGTAGTGTGGTGACTAAGCTGGACGACCTCGTTAACTGGGCCCGCAGGGTGGGCCACTCAACAACTCGCTACTATACACTATACACTACACTATACACTACTACACACTAGTATAGTAGTGTAGTGTGGTGACTAAGCTGGACGACCTCGTTAACTGGGCCCGCAGGGTGGGCCACTCAACAACTCGCTACTACAGCACTACTATACACTACACACTAGTATAGTAGTGTGGTGACTAAGCTGGACGACCTCGTTAACTGGGCCCGCAGGGTGGGCCACTCAACAACTTGCTACTACACTATACACTACACTACTATACACTATACACTACACTATACACTACACTATACACTACTACACACTAGTATAGTAGTGTGGTGACTAAGCTGGACGACCTCGTTAACTGGGCCCGCAGGGTGGGCCACTCAACAACTCGCTACTACACTATACACTATACACTACACTACTATACACTATACACTACACTATACACTACTACACACTAGTATAGTAGTGTAGTGTGGTGACTAAGCTGGACGACCTCGTTAACTGGGCCCGCAGGGTGGGCCACTCAACAACTCGCTACTACACTACACTATACACTACTATACACTACACTATACACTACACTACTACACACTAGTATAGTAGTGTATTGTGGTGACTAAGCTGGACGACCTCGTTAACTGGGCCCGCAGGGTGGGCCACTCAACAACTCGCTACTACACTACTATACACTATACACTACTACACACTAGTATAGTAGTGTGGTGACTAAGCTGGACGACCTCGTTAACTGGGCCCGCAGGGTGGGCCACTCAACAACTCGCTACTACACTACTATACACTATACACTACACTATACACTACTACACACTAGTATAGTAGTGTGGTGACTAAGCTGGACGACCTCGTTAACTGGGCCCGCAGGGTGGGCCACTCAACAACTCGCTACTACACTACTATACACTATACACTACACTATACACTACACTATACACTACACTACTACACACTATACACTACACTATACACTACTACACACTAGTATAGTAGTGTGGTGACTAAGCTGGACGACCTCGTTAACTGGGCCCGCAGGGTGGGCCACTCAACAACTCGCTACTACACTATACACTACACTACTATACACTATACACTACACTATACACTACTACACACTAGTATAGTAGTGTAGTGTGGTGACTAAGCTGGACGACCTCGTTAACTGGGCCCGCAGGGTGGGCCACTCAACAACTTGCTACTACACTATACACTACACTACTATACACTACACTATACACTACACTATACACTACTACACACTAGTATAGTAGTGTGGTGACTAAGCTGGACGACCTCGTTAACTGGGCCCGCAGGGTGGGCCACTCAACAACTCGCTACTACACTACACTATACACTACACACTAGTATAGTATAGTAGTGTGGTGACTAAGCTGGACGACCTCGTTAACTGGGCCCGCAGGGTGGGCCACTCAACAACTCGCTACTACACTATACACTACACTATACACTACACTACTATACACTACTACACTCTACACTACACTACTATACACTACACTATACACCACTATACACTACACTATACACTACTACACACTAGTATAGTAGTGTGGTGACTAAGCTGGACGACCTCGTTAACTGGGCCCGCAGGGTGGGCCACTCAACAACTCGCTACTACACTACTATACACTACACTATACACTACTACACACTAGTATAGTAGTGTGGTGACTAAGCTGGACGACCTCGTTAACTGGGCCCGCAGGGTGGGCCACTCAACAACTCGCTACTATACACTACACACTACTATACACTACACTACTATACACTATACACTACACTATACACTACACTATACACTACTACACACTAGTATAGTAGTGTGGTGACTAAGCTGGACGACCTCGTTAACTGGGCCCGCAGGGTGGGCCACTCAACAACTCGCTACTACACTATACACTACACTATACACTACTATACACTACACTATACACTACACTATACACTACACTATACACACTAGTATAGTAGTGTGGTGACTAAGCTGGACGACGTCGTTAACTGGGCCCGCAGGGTGGGCCACTCAACAACTCGCTACTACACTATACACTACACTATACACTACACTACACTATACACTACACTATACACTACACTACTATACACTACACTATACACTACACTATACACTACACTATACACACTAGTATAGTAGTGTGGTGACTAAGCTGGACGACCTCGTTAACTGGGCCCGCAGGGTGGGCCACTCAACAACTCGCTACTATACACTACACTATACACTACTACACACTAGTATAGTAGTGTGGTGACTAAGCTGGACGACCTCGTTAACTGGGCCCGCAGGGTGGGCCACTCGACAACTCGCTATTACACTACACTATACACTACACTACTATACACTATACACTACACTATACACTACACTATACACTACACTATACACTACTACACACTAGTATAGTAGTGTGGTGACTAAGCTGGACGACCTCGTTAACTGGGCCCGCAGGGTGGGCCACTCAATAACTCGCTACTACACTATACACTACACTACTATACACTATACACTACACTATACACTACTACACACTATACACTACACTATACACTACACTACTACACACTAGTATAGTAGTGTAGTGTGGTGACTAAGCTGGACGACCTCGTTAACTGGGCCCGCAGGGTGGGCCACTCAACAACTCGCTATTACACTACACTATACACTATACACTACACTATACACTACACTATACACTACACTACTACACACTATACACTACACTATACACTACTACACACTAGTATAGTAGTGTGGTGACTAAGCTGGACGACCTCGTTAACTGGGCCCGCAGGGTGGGCCACTCAACAACTCGCTACTACACTATACACTACACTACTATACACTATACACTACACTATACACTACTACACACTAGTATAGTAGTGTAGTGTGGTGACTAAGCTGGACGACCTCGTTAACTGGGCCCGCAGGGTGGGCCACTCAACAACTTGCTACTACACTATACACTACACTACTATACACTACACTATACACTACACTATACACTACTACACACTAGTATAGTAGTGTGGTGACTAAGCTGGACGACCTCGTTAACTGGGCCCGCAGGGTGGGCCACTCAACAACTCGCTACTACACTACACTATACACTACACACTAGTATAGTATAGTAGTGTGGTGACTAAGCTGGACGACCTCGTTAACTGGGCCCGCAGGGTGGGCCACTCAACAACTCGCTACTACACTATACACTACACTATACACTACACTACTATACACTACTATACACTACACTATACACTA